TAAATTGATAATATTAACATACATTAATATTATTAATTATTGTTCTGGGGTTTCTTCTGGTTGTAAAGATTTCAAATATTCTTGGTGTTTGTTTGTTCTTTCATGCCTCATTTTATGACCACATGTATAACTACCTCCACAATCACAAGAATATTTAACCTTTCGTTTTTCTGCATATTGTTCATTTTTTTCTCGCCATTCCTTGTTTTTCTGTTTCATATATTCCTTGACATGTGCTTGGTTTCTATACTTTCTCGTTTGTTCTCTAACAATATCAGCATTGTCATCACGATACTGTTTATTTTTGTGCTTTATATCTTCCTTGTTCTCTTCATAGTAATCAAACCTATATTGCTTTGCTTCTTCTGGTGTTCTTGTTGGTCGGGTTTTATTCAATGTCGCGTTCAATTGTTCAATATATTCTCGTTCTTTCCTTAGCGCGTCCAAACGATTTTCACACCTTTCAGTTTGTATTAGTATCATGTCAAAATTTTCAAAACCTCCACTGTTTCTTATAAATTGATAAACATAAGAATTAGAGTGTTCTCTGTCATTCTCATTATAACAAGTTCTTTTGTGTGCTGACTTTCTGTTTTTAAAATTTAATGTGTGTCCAACATAACAGTCCTTGATATTTACGTCCTTGCAAACTATTTTATAAAAATAGGTTTTATCGTAGTTTAGTTCCTTACGTGGCATCGTCAGGTATTATAGAGTATTATAAAGTATTCTTTGAATATTATTCATCGGTAATCGTAAATCGGTGTTCAAAATTAATGTAGAACATGTGGTTAATGTCTTTAGAATTTAGATTTACATAAAAGAAAGAATACGAAGAATTATTTATTGCCGTGTGATACATGTCTAACAGTTTGTCTTTATCCACTATCGCTGCGTTTTCTTCAATGAAACTCATTAGTTCTGTAATGTTTTTGAGTCTGAAAATGTATAGTGAAGAAGCATTAACACGAATTATATTTGCGATTGATTTATATTTTTGTAAAGAACAAATAACATTGATTGCATCGTGCCTACCTCTTGTAAATAAACCGTGTAATATTTTAGAATATCTTAAAAACTTGGGGTCGTCGCTGAAATCATCAATCACGATTAATATTGAATGTAGTTTCTTTATCTTTTTAGACTTCATATAGTTAATAATTTTCTTCTGTCTTTCAATTACATTTTCTATATCAATTGGATTGTAATTGTCAAAATAAATTTGTTCTTTTTCATCATCTACATGTAGTTCATCCCTAATATACTTTTTAACTTCTGTAAAGGTTGGATCGTTATGAACACTGGGTGAAAATATATATATTCTTGCAAATGAATTTCTATAAACATTCAATATTAAATTTTGAATAAGGACAGTCTTACCGCCTGTCGAACTCGCAACTATAATACTTCTAAATGGTAATTTTGGCACGTGCTCATATTTAGATTGTTTGAATTCATATTCAGTTATGTTTATTGGTTTTATTATTGGAACATCTGACATAATAAAATAATATTAAAGTTATTTAGAAAATATTTTATATTTATTATTTTATATGAATAGAAGTTATTCAGATTATATTGATATAATAGATAAAGTAGAAAATATAGAACAAGTTGTTATAACTAATAATAGATGTAAAAAAGTATGCTATTTTGTTTTAGAATTAATTAAGTTTGTGATACAATATATTAAAAATATAAATATTAATATAGATGGGAAGAAAGAAAAAGAACAAGACTGAACCAGTTGTTTCTTCGACTGATGAAGAAATTGTTAAAGAAACATCAGTTATTGAGTTTGCTTGTCCAATGTGTAAAAAAATCTTAGAAATGAAGAATGAATTAGAAATACAAAAGAAAGGACATTGTAAATGTTCGTTTATTCCAACCAGTTTCAAAATAAGTAAGAATGATAAGAAAATGAATATTGATAAAACTAAAGACAGTATCAACTTAGAAACAGATGTTCATAATATTGCTATCAAATGGGGAAGGCATGCATCACCATCCGTTAATGGTGATAAGGAAACTCAGGAAACTATACGCGAAATGCTGAAAAATAATAGTTAAAATTATTTCTATTATTATTTATAATGCAAGATGTTATAAAAAAAATTATTAAATTCATTGATGTAAAAGAATTGAAATTGAATAATTTTATTGAAGAATATAACGAAAATGATATATTAATTAATTTTGTTAATGACTTTAGAAATAGCAAAATTGATTTTAACATGTTTTATAATTCTTTTAATTATGCTGATTTATTTGAACAATCAGATTTAAAATTCTATTGTAAAAGAATATATTCATATACTTTAAGATTTATTGCTAATTATGATAATAAAAATGCTATTCAGTTTTATGAAATTACATTGAGAAAAATGAATAATATTTACAAAAATAGTAACATTAGTGTTGTTAATGTGTTTGAATGTATTAAATGTTTAATAATTTATATTACAGATAATATTGAAAAGTTTCATAAATATTCAAAATTTAGAAAAACTATTATTTGTAATTTAATTGGTAAATTGAATAATAATTTAACGAGTTACACAATAACTAATTTTGAATTGACTTATAATGATATATGATTTTGTAAAATAAAAGTTTAGTTTTAAAAGTTTTATTTTATAATATAATATATATATTTACATGGATGAAGGATTAGAAAAGATTGTTAAAAAACTGAACAAGGTTTTAGAACAGAATAAGAATATTTTAGAAATCTTGCAAGAAATGGAAAAGAAGAAACCTTTAACAAACAGTTATCAAAGTAAAGAAGTAGATAGAACCAATGGTGAATATAAAAATAAAAGAAATATTTATTTAAACAAACTTAATAACAAAGAAATTAAAGAACCGAAGGCTTCAACTATGACATTTTATCAAATTGACTATGATGAAGATACGGGGGTTTATTCATAGATAATAATCCAACGACAAAACAGCATGTTTTCTTGAAATTAGGTGGGGTTCCCCCTTTTTTGGGGCGACAGTTTATTTATATTATGTTATTATAATATAAATTAACATTGTAAAACTTTATAACCTTTCATTATACCATAGTTATACTCTATAAAATTTGTTTTTGTGTTGCTTTTTTAATGAATGAACATAACCTTGCCCATAATATTTCTACAAATTTTATGATAAAAATATTGTAAGATAATTTATCATAATTTTTGGAATAATATTTTTGAAAATTTATTTTTTGCGAATTTATTTTTTGAAAAATATTATTTGGAAAATTACTTTTTTTTTGAAAATATTTTTTTTTGAGAAATATTTTTGATTTTTTTTTTGAAGATATCTTTTTTTTTTGAGAAATATTATTTTTTGAAAAAATATTTTTTGATTTTTTTTTGAATGAGCTTAACCTTGCCCATGCATCCTACCATCAATAACCATATCATATGAACCACCCTATACTCCTATTTCCACTCAAGCATCCTAACAATGACAAGAATGATGGAATAGAAATGAGAAAAATGTAACTTTTTTGATGGATTTTGAGGTTGAGACTGTTATGAAATGTTTTGAGTGGAAATATGCATAATGAATAAGGATGACGATTTGAATAGTGAAAAAATGGTTGAAAAATGCTGTTCTTGCGTAGGGGGGGGGCTACGCTAGGATACCATAAAAAGATGGGCAAGGCCCACCCTAACTCTTAGACCCCATAGAACAAGAATGTGTTATTAGATGTTGTCAGCCAACGAAGCGTGGCAGCACTTAGATGGGCGTTGGCTGTGGCTTCCCTTGGTTCCAGCAATAAGGCAGCACAAGCGCCGTACCGCTGTCAAGCCATGATATTCATCAAAGCCGTTTGCTTTCCTTGCCCAACGTACCAGGAAACATACAAGAGACCTAAGTTCGGTCCTCAATCAGTCAATGTCGAATGTGCAATAGCCATGATCAGTGCAAAATGGGATTAAACCCAACAACCACGGCTGTGGCGTTCTCTTGTACAAACGAATCCTACATGGGCTCTGAGCAAGCTTGGGTTTGCTCAAGCAAAATCTTCCGAACCGGGGCGCCTTCAAAAGTAAACGCAGCGAACCCTTATACGTTGCACCAGCTTCGGCCTTGGAATGAGCATCAAGCAATCCAACCGCCAACATTTACAATGGTATTTTTCAGAAACAAAGCGGCAGCTACGCAGCCTGCCAAAGGCCTGCTCCTGAAGAAACATAGCGCAATAACTTACGCAAAAGAAGCGGAAACAAATGAGCGTTGAGCGTCAAGCGTTTCTACTGCCAAGATTTACAGCCGTATTTTTCCATCACAACAGCAGCAGTTACACAGCATACCAAGAGTCTGTCCCTTAAAAACACAATTCTATTTTGTTTTTTTCCGCAGAACAGGCGAGAACAAATGAGCATCAAGCAATTTGTCCGTCAAAATATATAATAGTATTTCCGAGCAACAAAGCAGCCACAGATATCTTGCCATGTGTCCCTTTGTCGAGAGATCTTGCAGAGCTGAAGAGGCGTATCAAGAGATCCACAGATCCTGCAAAGATCCTTCCACACAGATCTTGTCCAGGACTCTGAAACTCTGTGCAGAAGCAAGTGAGCATTTGCTGCGGCTACTCTCATGTTACCTGATTGGTTTCTTGCCTCACTATGTTTTCCTAACATGTTTGACCACTGTTTGGCGTCGCTTTCCGGGATCACAAAACATTCATGACATTCGCGCTTGATTCAGACCCTGTGCCCACAATATCCACTGTTTCTAGTTGGTGGGTTTTTGGAAACCCAATCTTCCACGGTAAATGCCTCCGTTGCAGTGATGTCTCTCTTTTGCAAGGCTTCTGATTCCGTGCCAACTGTATTTCTCGCGGCGGGCTTTGTTGGACGTCACCAAAGCGTGGGGATGTGTGCCCGAAGTGTTCCAACTTTGTTCAACGCTCACTTGCTCGACGTCGACCTTTTGACCGGTTTTTGTCCCCATGTTAGTCAAAAGAAGTTGACCCAAGATCAAGTGTTCGGCAGGCGGCGGGCGCAGGCAGGCCTTCCGATGAGATGGGGCGTCATCCATCCCTGACTGGCAAGCCCCCAAGAAGAGGTCCATTTCCCTCTCCCTTTCTAGGCTTTTCTGTTTGTCCAAACTAGTAGAAAAACGAGCGGTGCACAAATTGAGTTTTCCTGGAAGCCAACCACCGACAGCGCGATCGGCCCAAAAGTCATCGGATGTCGGGCGGTTGAATTGGGAGGAGTCATGGTTGTCGCTGGGAAACATTTTACATTTTTGCTTATTGTGGCTTAGTGGTTGAAATCCAACAACTTAACTGCTAAAATTTGAGAATTTTTTGCTCCCCTTCCAACGTGAACCAAGGAGTAGCCCGGGTTTTCCATGGGCCCTCATTCGGGTAATTTCTAAGCTCAGCCTCCAGATCCTGAGTACCGGTGTTAAGTCGACGCCCAGAAGCATGTTGCGGAAGTCGGCCCATACCGGCTCTTTGCAGGGTACCCTTTTGAGCTTCAAAAGGGAAACCACAAGGCAGCCCAGGTTTTGTGGAGTCATTGGGAGACCGACCCTTCCCACCCAGCCACTTCTCTTGGGTTTTGTTTGTTTGGACTGCCACGGACGGCGCCCAATGAAATGATTGGGCTTTGTTTGACTTGGCATGGCTGCTCCGGGTTGTGAGGAAATCGCCCTCCTCAAAAAGGAACAAGAGGTGATTCCTCTTTGTGAAACCTGCCAGAGGAAACCTCTTCTCAGGGGCATAGGTGTCCTTTTTAGGTGAGCCTGGTTAAAAATAGACGGCACTGGTTTAGATGGGTTTTGTTCCATTTACCGGGGCCATCTATCTTCCCAAAAGGCCACCTATGCTCAGGGGTCCCAGATGGGGGGCCAGGTGGTTTCCGACAGAGGCTTCGGGGGAGGTCCGTGCCGAAGCGCCGCTCTGTGAAGCCCTTCAGCAGCTTTCCAGGCCCGCCCACGAGTAGATGACTATCGATGGCGTGTCTTTGTTTGAGGGCCCCTTTTTTGGTTAGTTTTAATGGAAGACAAGAGGAAACCCAGCAGTTAGGGTCCTTTATTTTGAGACACGCCCATATTTGAGGGTGGCGATTTTACCTTTCAAGAGGATCAACATGTTTACCACCTTTTAGGATGACCACAACTAATATGATCAATGATGGACTTTTACAGTCATCGACTGTACTTGGTGGTTAGCTGTACGGTCCTTTGACTTGTTGTTTCTTAGAGAGGTACTATGGCATACCCATTACCCCGGTCAAAGACTGACTTGTTGCAAGGATCAACAGAGTAAGTGAGTTGAGAAAAATAAGTTTGGCACGCAAAACCCCCAGCTCTCTGGTGGAGGCTACCAGAATCCAATGCCCCTCTGGCGGATCAGCATGGGCGCGCGCTCTGCTCCTCAGGGCATTGAGTTTGGGCTCCTTAAAAGAAATCTCCATTTTGCAACCATTTGAAACATGTGGCTTTTTCAACACAAAAACAAAGGGAAATCACCATTTACAAGTTGCAATGTTCAGGTGTATACTGTAAGGATCCCTGTTGAGTTGGGGCCTTTCGAAGCTAAACAGCCACCGAATTCGGTTCGTTCGATCCCATTGAAACGGGGACCGATTCGACGCGTCCAAGTTCGCGAGAAGGCTCAAATCCGCTGGGGGGCATTGATTTGTGAAGAGTTTTGACCCAAAGGAAGCCATTGGTCTGGAAGTCCATTGATTTTTGAGGGAAGTCTTTTTTGGTAGGTTTGACATGACAACCAAAGCAGGTTCCTGAAAAAATCAGACGAGGCATCCATTTTGGGTCTGGGGTGTTTCAACAGGCGCGATGTGGAGTGCCTGCGCGAGCTCCTGGAGTCTTTGCCCTGCTGCCATGTTTCGTTTTGTCCCTTTGACACACATGGGGGTTGAGATCCCCTCTAAATGACCATGGCTAACTTTTCCTGTTTAGCGGGATATACTGTGGACGGACGAAATCCTGCACCACTTTGAAACCATGGTTGAAGCCATTGTTTGTTGGTTTTTACGTTGGGGAATCATTCATTCCAGGGTTTCTGAATGGTGGTGCCTATAAAGAGGATTTCGCAACCATCCACAGTATCATTTCTTCAGTGGTTTGACACATAGTGATGGGCAAATTCCTGGGCACCACCCAAGAAGCGCAAGTTGGTGTCTGATTCGAAAACCCAACGTAACTACCAACCTCAGTTGTTCAGTGGCACCGATTATTTTTCCCTTTTTTAGGTGGCTGCCCCACTAAAAATCCGGTCTTCCCCAAGAAGGGTTCCCTTTTTTCCAGGGTCACTGAACAACTGAGCAACGCACGTGGTTTCAACCGGTTTCAAAGTGATGCAACATTTTGTTCATCAGTATTGGTTGGCGGAACATTGGGTGCCCTGCATCACTTTTAGAGGGTTACAAACCCCTGCTCGGTTGACGTGAGGTGAGCAACCTTGGGCCCGGCGCTTGTGGCAAATTTGAAGTCGAACCTGTGGAACGCGCCAGTGCAAACCTCGTTTTGCTTCTCGCTTTGCTTGGCGACACGCCAATCCTGGGAACTCGAAATTGAATCTTGGATGTTCCAACTTAGTAGGCTCCAACTATGGATACCGGGGTTGCTGGGGAAGTAACTTAGCTTAGGTTAAAGTTATAACTTATTATATTAACTTATAACTATGGATACTGGGACAGCTGGGGCCAGTCCCCCATGAAGCTAAGGGGATGGCCGTGGGTCAATTGGGGGTGGGTGCACCACCCATTTTAGTCTATTTTAGTGGTTGGATTGGGATGTTCACTGAGGGTACGGGGTTTTGACCCATTGCCACATGCTGTTCGGAAAACGGACTCCTTTGATCCCATTGACTTGATGGTGCTCAAGATCTTGACCAAACGTTGCATCCAGCTGGTGGGTTCGGCTCCGGAGCTCCCCTTCCATAGGATCAGTATGATAGACCTGCGCTGCGCATGAACTGGGATTGGTGAACCGGAAGATGTCGTTTCCTCATAGGGGCTGGAGGGGAGAGGGGAGAGGGGAGGGAGCCCAAAGCCCTTCTTAAGCCCTCGAGCCGATGAGTGTTCCGGATGTGCGAGTTGCTCGACTTTTGTTCCTTTAAGGAAGCCTCAGGCGCTCAGTTACAGGCAAAAATCGCCATGCCGAAACACTGGAAACCTTGTTTCAACATAGTTCACATGCATTTGGCGTTGGTTGGAAAGAAAAGAATTGAATCTAAAGGTTAGGTTGCAAACAACGAATTTCAAGCAATCTTGAATTCTCCCCCTGGGCTAATCGGCACCCACCAAGCGTTACCTTGTCCACCAGACAAAAAAGAATACCCACCATTTGCTGGGGGGTAGTTTTCAGCTGGATGATATCCTCCGGCTCGCCCGAAAGTCAGAAAAGCAAGTCCCTAGATAGCCGAGTTGCTGTTTTTGTTCAGTCACTGTTGCGGGTTTTTGGGGTAAAGTGGATGGAAAAAAGCGCTCGCAACTGGCGATCCAGGTCTGTCCTTGTTTTCCAGTGGGCCATGAGCTCGTGCACGTTGCAGCCTTCGTTGCTTTTCTCCCTGCTCGTGGGCTTCACCCAAAAGAGAATTGAGTTTAGCCCCAAACCTCCGATTTCGGAACCCCACGCAGCTTTTTATGACCCATGACCTACCCTCCCCCAGACGATTCCATGGAAGCCGCAGGACTTCTTTGGAATGCTCTCCGTTTACAAAGGCCTTCCGGAGCTTCCGGCTGTTAGTCGGGAGGAAATCCGAATGAACTTGAGCAGGGATCCTTACATTATACACCTGAACATTGCAACTTGTACATGGTGATTTCCCTTTGTTTTGGTGTTGAAAAAGCCACATGTTTCAAATGGTTGCAAAATGGAGATCTTTTAAGGAGCCCTGTTGAGCGCTCAAACCCCGAAGCCCGCATGGGATGGCAGGCTGCAGGCCGGTGGCCAGGAGCTGCGAGATTTTTGTCGACTTGGTTTCCGTCGATTCGGCTTTCACTGGGTCCATTGATTCATTTTACGCACTGCTTCCCGAAATTTCTCTCCAAATCTTTGGTGAGAGGTTTTTGTTGTTGCTTTGAACCTCGTGCATGACTGCTTTCCCACTAGTTGTTGAAAGAAGTTAATTAAGTTGTTTGCAGGGCTCAACACATCAACTCAGTACAGCAGTTGCCATTGTAGACCCTTCGCTGGGTAGACTCGCCGATGGGTTGTGCTGACTCAGCTTCTGCAACACGTGGCGCTTCTGAGTCGCTTGGTTCACGGCCTGTCCCCGTTCGATGTTCGTGACTCGCTCCAGGAAAGGCAGGTACTTTCCATGTTTAGTCCATACTTCCATTTGCTTAGGACTAGTTGTTTATTTCCCTTGTGAGTTGGGCTTAAGCGAATGGAAGCATACCATCGCCCATGTTGTCCAAGAGACTAGAAATAATATCCAACCAGGGTCTCAAGTTCAAAGGATATGGGATCGAGCAAGTCGCTTGGCCGAAACCCCCAACCCTCTTTTTGATATGGTTAACGAGCTCTGGTTACGCAGGTGTTCGTGTTTGGTTCCATTGACCAAGGTGGCATTTTGATACCACGTTTTGAGCCAAAGCCATATGTCGGTTTGGCCGGAAAACCCATATTCCAACAAGATCTCGAGGTGCGAATATTCGCTCTCGAGCCTTCCAGGGGACCTGGATTCCCATGGTGTAAACACCTGGAGGACCCCAACGCCAGTCGGGACGGAATCCTTGACTTGGGACCAGTCGTTGATTCGGCACCCATGGTTCCTTTGGTTTCAACCACTTGGTTTTTCTGGATGCTGGGTTTTGGCTTGGTTTCCCTTTAAACCAACCCCAAGGGTACCTAGAGCCCTAAACATGGTTGCTGTTGGGAAACATTTGAAACAATTTTGCTTATTGGGGTTTACTGGTTGAAATCCAACCACTTAAGTGCTATTTGTTTCTATATTTATTGCTCCCCTTCCAACGTCAACCAGGTAAAGAAGACGGACATTCGCACTTGCCGAGGAGACCTTCCCCTTCTGCCGGCAGAAGGTGCAGCTGGAGGCGGCTTGAACGGATGGGAAAACCGCCCCAAGTGGTCCTTACTTTGCGGACCTGGAGACAAAGGGCCTTTCATGGTTGTTCTTGGGAAACATGTTTTTCATCTTTGCTTCTTGTGGCTTAGTGGTTGAAATCCCCACTTAGCTGCTAAACATCAGTTTTTTTTGCCCGCCGTCAACCAAGCTTTGGAGTACACTCTACTCTCACCAGATGGTCCTTTGTTATTTTGGGATTTGTTATATATTTTTTTGCTCCCCTTCCAACGTCAACCCAAAAAATCCACCGAGCTCCTGCTCCCAGCCAAATTCGCGAAGCTGAAAGGCTCTGGCGTCGCTGCCTGCGGTGAGCAACTTCTTCTCGGACCTGGGCTGCCACTCGGCTGACCATTTCCGTTTGCTTCTAGGTCGTCCAGGATCGTGCGCCCTTTTACCGTTTCCTTTTTGGGGGAGGGCTCCCCTACTAAAATAGACTACAAAAAAAAGGCACCTTCCTTCTTTGGGGGTAAATGGCACCTTGGCAAATGGAACCAAAGACTAGAACCTGCGTAGCCCTAAGTCTTGAATTTTGAGCCACACCCAAATAAGGTGATAAAAATTATGGTGTGTGAAATCGGAAACCATCAATGGTGGGCAACTTTTCCAGGTTTTCCGTTGGTTTCCATTTGGTTCTTGAGTCGAAGTGGGAAACGACCAGCAGTAATGGGAACCCAGGATTGATAAAAGCTTGATTGATGAACAGATGTTTGCTTTTCCCTCTTAAATTGTTTGGTTGTTCATTTTTTCTGGGGCGGAAAAGGACGTAAGGGTAAGGGAAAGTCCTAGGGCGCTTCTCAAAATGATTGCGAAGGGAAAATAGAGAGGACACCTGGAGTGCTGAATCATGAGATACACCCGTGATTTGGGCCACACCCCTTTAGTACCAGGTTTTCATTGTAAGCAAGTTGGCTACGTCAGGGTTGCTCCGATGAAATCCGAGGTCCACTTGAAAGCTTGCAAACTATGGTTGAGGGTAAGAACAAAAGTATCCATCTCGTGACATAATTTCAGAAAGTCCGAGTCTTTAAAGCACGACCAACACGCAAGGGTAGAACATGAGCTTGTGTTTTCCTTTTGAAAGAAACCTAGTTTGGATCTCTTGTCCGAAATCAAACTTTGATAGCTTTCAACTGTCACTTCTTGTATTTGATTAGTTTGAGCTTTGTAACCCTGATATTCGAGCCGGGCTGCATGGCTTGGAAACCCTGCAGCGACGGATGCTTTGGTAGTGTGTGTTTTGAGACCCCCCTTTTTGGTTGGCTTGAAAGGAACACCACACGGAAACCACTCCATTTGGGAGGTTCCCCTGCTGGGTGCGTGTATTAAGTTGCCCGGGCTTGTGTGAAGTCGCCCGGATGAGGTGTCCCCATGCAGATCTGTGTTCAGGCACCTATTCAAGTAATTATGGAACAGCGTATGTCATGATGTTTCCGTCAGTGTCCCCTTGGATTTGGCCGAAGCAGCGAAGTTCTGTCATGGACAGCCAGCTTTCACACTTGGAACTGTGTCCCCTGAAAGAAAGATAAAGGAAGGGGACAAATGTGATCTGGGAAGTGCTGTCTTCGTGTTCGCGCGAGAACGATCCACGGCCATTGGTTCCAAGCGCCCAAAAAGACATTTTTTCTAAGGGTCTTGACCCCTTTAATGCACATACCCCTGGGCCCTCCACTGGAGAACCAATTCCTCAGCGGCCCTTGCAAACAACAAAGTTTTGAGGGCCCAAAAACAATCGAGACCCTCAGGGTTGGCCAAGTTAGTGCAGGGCTCCCAGATGGAACAAGTTCACACCTTGAAGGCATCCCCAACGATGGGGCTTTCATATGTGCCATAATGATAACACAACACCTTTACTTGGCTGTGGGTCAAAACCAATGGTACCATTTTGGGGCAGGTGCACCACCCATTTTATTTTATTTTAGTGGGGATTGGGATGTTCACTCAAACTTTTTGCTGGGGGATCTACAGCACCCAAGTTTTGACCTTTCCGTTTTTCTCTGTTGGCCCAATTTCTAGTCAAGGTCACAAACAGTCAACTGTCCTTTGGGCAAATGAGCATATCATGAGTCCTACCCTACGGTTTTGATCCTGAGACACAGTTTGAGGTACCTGGGGCTGAAAATCGCGCCCCAAAACTTGGGCTGAATTCCGGTTTAAGGGCAGCTTCCAGGTCCCCCAGTGCCCTTTTATCAACTAACATGGAAAAAAGGCCCTTTACAAGAGGAAAGCAGCCTTTCTACAGGGGTCTGTGCACTTCCATGTTATGGGAGGGTGGGGAGGGTTCCCCTACTAGAATAGACTACCGAAAAGAGTGGGTACCCTAATTCTAACCTCTCAAATCTGGAGGACCTGGATTATGTGAGATGTTACCAAAAAAACAAACGCCCGGGTGGTATATCCCCAACAACCCCAACCCCTTTGGGGAACCTGACAACCCTCACCCCTCCCGAACCCTGGGGCAAAATATGGTTTTAAACACCAAGCTTTACAATGGAAGAATCATCCTAACCTGTTGTTTAAACAGGTTTGAACCTATGGGTGCCCCCCCCCCCCCCGAAGCCCAAAACTTTGGTACGTTTTGCTTGGATGTTGGGACTGTGCCAACTGGGCTTAGTCGCTTCTTCTGCAGGGCAGAAAGCAACCCAGAAAACCAACTGGGCTTAGTCACTTTTAGCAGGGCAGAAAGCAACCCAGAAAACGGACCAGCTCAGGCACCGACAATTTTTTATTTCCGCAGGTGAGCTGCCGGTGCCGCAGCGCGTGGCCTGGGTGGAAGCAGCCGCCAGCGCCTGAGTTTTCGATCTCGAGGGCTTTGGGTTGCGCCCCGTTGCGCGTGGATTCCCACGGAACGCCTACAGTTGACCCCCCCAACAAAAACAACCCAGAAAGATGTTGACCCCAACAAGAAACCACCAAGAGTTTGTTTCTGAACAGCGGGGTGTTCCCCTCCAAAGGGATGCTTCCCCACTAAACCTGGAGACCCCCCCCCAATCTGAATAAACTGGGGTTGATTAATATTGGGTCAGCATTAGCCATCCAAACCAAAGAGTAAGCTGCGCCGTTTGGGTGCGTTTTGTTTGTATGAATTTTGGGCGCGCCTCAAAGTGACATCCTCAGAATGACCCAAATGGTGGCAAGGGAAACCATCCAAAGATAATTTTGAGGGCCCTTCAAGATGTTCTGTCTACGGGATCGACTTTCAACTGAGATATGGGTTTTCGCAGGGAGCCACAGCACCCCTCACAACCAAAACCTCAGAAAAGGTAAGAATCTGGTGGCAAAGTCCTTGTTTTAGGCTTTGGCAGTATCATTGTGCAGGCGCGCCAGACCTTTGAAGATGTCGGCATGCGGGAGGGCTTGTCGTTTGGCAGGCGTGGGCGCAGGTCGTTTGGCGCTATTTTTGCACATGTATTATTGCATATCTACGCATGATGCTAGTTTTGCCATGTCAGGCCCGAGCACTTTCTGCCACCAATAGCTTCCTTATGTTTCTTTGCGGCCATCCCTTTTCTCGAAAACACCCTCAGAGTCCCAGAGAGAATAGCGATGGTTAATTGGTGGCTCCCAGCCATCCGGTTCCTTAGCTTTTCAGCCTTTCAGTGTTTAGTGGTAGTTTCCGAATCTAACTCACCAAAAGTTAGTCAAGCTTTTGGCGGGGGTTCCGAAAGCGGGCAGCAACCAGAATGGCAACGGCGCTGAGGCTGCGCAGTCTGAGCACTTCGACATCTCCTTCCAGGAGGGTTGGATGCAGGCGTGGCGTTCTCGGGCGTGGCGCTCTCGTTTGTTGGCCGGTGGTTTTCTGGCGCAGTTCACTTGTTTTAACAGCACCAGTACTACATACGTAGCTGAGCTAAGATTTAACCACCAAAACAATTTGCTGTTAACACAGACGATATCCTTTTCACCATGTGCCAGTGAGTAGCCCCGAGCAAACCAGGTGCTGCCCGAAGGTTTTCTTTGGAACCTTGGGCAAAGAAGCATTTCAGGCATGTCCCGCAGCGGTGCGAGCAGTGGGTTTATTCCCTGTGAGAAGGGTCCCGCTTTCTTGAGCCAGGCTGAAAGGAAGGAAGACGGCCGCACAGGGAGCCTAGTAACAAGCCATGGTTGGAAGGAGAGCTGGGTGTATCTTAAACTAGGGCCCCCCAAAAATGTGCTTTCCCTTTTTTCAACGATAAAAACAAAGCAACAATCAAAAAGGGGTTCCCTGAAGAAAAACAACACCCATGTGTATTGACCCCTGACAGGTCTTGATCCGAGACGTTGAGCAGGCGCAGACCGCAAGTCCTTCGATGGTTTTTGTCACGTGACTGGGCGGCTTCGTGACTCATTGTCCTCAGGGAGCCATAGATGGCCATAGTTTCCTTCAGGTTTTCCTACTGGGCAACCTATGGCTCCATGTTTGGGTGGATGAACATCCATCCAGGGGTACAGGGTCAAAAACCCACAGCCATTTCAACAAACGCCATTGTGCTGTTCAAAATCAATCCTTCATCCTTTCGGGGGATGGAACTTTCAGGCGGACGCTGGCCACCCTCGTGGCTCCCCCCTGGCGTCATGAATGTTTGGAGCGATACATTTTTCTGCGGCGCAATCAGGTCATTGCCTTATGGGCATGTGTAAGGTGGACTGTTTGTGAGAGCAACTATCTGCAGAAGATCTGCCTTGGTTGATGTCACCTGGAGATGCATGCTGCCTTCCAAGGGCAATGTTATCAGTGCAGGACAGCTTGGGGGTTTTTAGCGGGCAAGGAGCATAGTTGCATAATCGCAAGTCCCCCCTCCGGTGCGTGACACTAGGCTGGACAAGGGACTTCACGATTCAAAGATGGGCCTCAACAATGCAACATGCTGAAATTAGGGCTATCCCTAGCAATGCTGGGAGTACTTTCAAGGGCTGAGGAGTCAAGAAAGCTTGAATGCATTCATTCGGCCTGAGGCTGGGACGGTGGTTCTGACCCCAAAGCTGATTGCATTTTAGGCAAGTTTCGACGCCTTTGGCCCCGTCTCCAAATGCTTGTTGTTTTTTGAGTAAGAAGCCAGTGTTTATATATATATATATATATATTATATTTTTCCAAGATAAAAGGTAGTGATACCTCTTTGCGTGGTCAGGGTATGATATGCCGAAACCCACCAGCTATTTGGCATGGGGGAGTGAACCTTGAGGCCAATAGGCTCCATGTTGACTTGTGGTCTCGGGATTTCCACGAACCATGGCCCGTTCGGGACTTGTGGCTGTCACTTTTGTTTTCTACATTAAACAACAATAAGCTGGGAACCGAGGCAAGGAGATGGGAAGCATATGCTAGGAAATTGGGGCAAGAGCATCTTTTCCATGGGGGCTCGGGGCAGCGCCAAGGGAACCTAACAGTTTCTTGAGCAAAATCGGGGAGTTGATATATGCGTATATATATACACATATGTATGCTTATATACACATGCATATATTCATATATAATTCATATATATATATATGTGTATCAACAAGTGACTATATAATGCATGTTATCATATAATACATATATATAATAATAATATATAATAATAATATTAATAATAATAATAATAATAATAATAATAATAATAATAATAATAATAATAATAATAAATAATAAATAATAAATAGTAAATCATAATGTAATAATAATAATAATAATAATAATAATAATAATAATAATAATAATAATAATAATAATAATAATAATAATAATAATAATAATACGAATAATACGAATAATACTAATAATAACAATAATAATAAATTATAATATTAATCATAGTAGTAGTAATAATAATAATTCATCATAGTAATAATAATAATAGTTAATCATAGTAATAATAATAATAATCAGAATAATAAATAATAATATTAATCATAGTAATACTAATAATAACAATAATAATAATAAATAATAATACTAATCATAGTAATAATAATAATGATAATAATAATAATAATAATGGTCTTCCCAGTTTTTTGGGGTCCGAGCCGCCTCCTTTGACCCGACGAGTCGTCCAGGTCCTTGAGCCGCGGATGGCGCCGCTCTCTGTTGGTGAGGTGGTGGAGGGCTTGGTGCTGAAAGGAGAGGCAGAGGCGCCGGGGCCCAGGGAGGGGAGGGAGGGTAGCCTCCCACTTGGGAGTGGCTCCAAAATTGAAGAGCCGGGGGCAAACGGCAGGTTTTGCTCTTCGTTTCCAAGGGCCCAAACATGGGTGCCGCTGTTTGGAGGGCTCCACAGCCAAATCTTCCTTTTGCTGTCCGGTCGTTTGAGGGTTTCGGTGTTTTTTTTTTGTTGGTTTAGCGGTTGGGTTTCCGCATTTAACCCACGAACCGCGTTGACCTTTTGACAGGAGAACGTTTGGCCCACGCCTTTCATCGCTGACAAACGATAGGCAGAAACCCCTCCTTAAAACCCCTCCTTAGGTCCACCGATTAGGCTCCAAACCAAAGGGGAAGCTGAGAGAACCCCGTTTTTTGGGGGGTTGCCCGTTTTGGGAGACAAGAACGTATGGGTTTGCCTAAGATGCTGTTTGCTCCCTGTTTGGCTCGAAAGGGAGTCGGTTTCACTACTGCAGATATCTTTTCATTTTCTTCCAGGGCGCGAAAAAGCAATTGGAAGAATTTCAATCATTGACACCTGCACCGCAACCAGACTATTCTGAAAAGAAGCATGTTTTGTTGAACCCACCTGTGCAGGTTCTGCGTTTCGGGAGGGTACTGCTACAACCCGCCATTATGATCAGTTCCCAGCTGCGGGGTCGGGTCTTAGCCTTCCTACTTTGGCAGTTCCCTTCGAATCGTCTGGTTCCTTAGGTTCCTTCGATTTTCTTTAGTGACTTGGCGTGTTGCTCTCGGCTCCCGGGCTTCCTGTTTTCTTTTGGGTGCTCACCCCTGACTCCAAATACCGACTTGTTTTATTCTAACAAAGGAGGTATTTGCCTTGCAAAACCAGGTTTTCCAAAAATACCCTGGAAAAAGTGGGTATTTGGAGTAGGGGGTAGTTGTTTTCGTTGGTTTTGTGGTAGTTTCCGCCAAACCAGTAGTCGTGTCCGACTTTTAGCAGGGGATCTGGGAACAGCCAGGTGTTTCGGCTGACATCATTTGACAAAAAAGGTGGGTATTGGGAGCGGGTATGTGGGTTTTCCAAGGGTGACTGATTCAAAGGGGCTTTGACACATCTTTTGAATTCATCGAAACACAAACTATCCTAGCAGGCTTGGTATGGTTTGGTACACACAACCAGCATATGGTCCTTTTGAGACCTCCCCTCAGTACTAATTAGGACTCGGGAAATGTTGCCCCAAACCCCCATTAGAAGAGTGGCTCAGGGGGACCCAACTTTGGATGATTAAACTTGGAACAATGGTACTGTGGATGGACGAAATCCTGCACCACTTTGAAACCATGGAAAGCCATTGTTGGTTTTTACAGGGGAATCATTCATTCCTGGTGCAGGATTTTGTCCATCCACAGTATGACACGCTCACCGCCTCCAAACCCCAAAGCCGGTTCTTGGAGAGAGACGCGTTGAGAAAATCTGGATGGGTTTCACTGCTACTGTGGATGGTTGCGAAATCGGTTCGCACCACTTCAAACCAGGACTGAAACCGTTGCTTTTGGTATTTCAGGGGAAGCCTCAGTCCAGGGTCAAGATCATGAGGCCCGCCTAGGTAGATGAGTTGTAGATGGTGAAGGGGATGGCCGATGTGCCCCCGTTGAACATCCACAAAAGCTCGTCGTTGAGCAACTTGCTGTCGAGCATGTTGCTCCCGGAGTTGGCGGGCGTCGTCAACAACAGCCACACGTACAGACAGCAGTCAGTAGACATCATCGACAAGAACTAGGAGGTATCCGACGATGCAGTCACCAAGATGTTGACCATCTACGCAGTGTGCGGGGGTGGCGACCTCGTCGAAGAAGAGGTTCTCCAAGGTCCTCAAGAGGGTTCTGGAGGAGGTATGGACCAAGTTGCCGGAGGTCGTGGAGCCATGCAAACTCGTGCACGAGCGCCCTCATTGTTTTAGCTGTGGTTTGAGCCCCAGGGATTTGTTTCTGTTATGGCTAGGAAGGCTTCTCTCTTGGTATGAACCCAAATAGTAGTACCTAGACCCTCAAACTACCCAAGAAAAACAGTTCACCCACCATAATTTTGGGGCTCCCCATGTTTAAGTTGGCATTTTGAGGGTTTAGGTAAACATTTTAACAACATAAACCTTAATGTGGAATGAACACTGATGGTGGTAGCTGGGATGCCAAGGGTTTCGTCAACTTCATTTTCCAATGAGGTTTGGTGAAAACAACCTGGCGCCTTTGCACGCCACTTAGCTACCAATTGAGACCCTCTGGGAAAACATATCCCCTCCCACCAGTCAACATGGAACCTGACGTTCGGGGGGTCCTGGTTTGGACCATTTTCCTTAAAGGACCAGGTCCCGAAGGTCAGGCTCCATGTGAAAAGGGTGGCAGGGTACCTTAAATCCTAAACCGCCAGTAAAAGAATGACCCCAGGCGCAATTTGGATGATGAGCCTTAGGTACACAATGGTGATAACTTTGATTTGGTTAAAACAACAACAAAAAGATTGGTCCAAACTACCTTAAACCGCCCTTCTAACGAATGGCCTTGCTTCGCTTGTTGTCTCAGGAGCTGCTGGTGGATGTTGGCTGCGCGCTGCCCAGCCCAGTGATGAGTTGGCTCCCCGGCCGGGGGCAGTGGGACGGAGGCGGCAGGCAGACGCTGTGCCCGATTTGTGTTTGAAGGGCACTCACTGTTTTCGGGTTTGTATCATGGTTGTTGTTAAACATTTTACATGTTTGCTTTTTGTGGTTTAGCGGGAAATCCCCACTTAAGTGCTAAAATTTAAATTGTTGCTCCCCTTCCAACGTCAACCAAGGTTTGAACGGGAAGTTAAACGCAAACCAGGTAAACCAAATAATGGTACTGGGATGTTCAACCGGCCTATGGGTTATATCCAAGGATGCAACTGGGTAACTGGGGTAAGTCCCTGCCAAGTTTGAACACCCGTTTGGTGAACGGCAGTTTGTAGAAGGTGGCACGAACACATTCAACAGCTTAAACACATCAGGTATCCGATGTCCCATTCAAATGACCGAACAAGGGCTGCCTTGGCTTTGATATGTATATCCAGATGAAAAGGCTGATATGATTGTGAGTTGATTCTTCCTTTGTCAGCTAGACGGGGCGGCTAGACTTCCCCCATTCGCCCTTTCCCAACTTTTCGTGATTGGAGGAACCAGGAACATTGTCTCACTTTTTGAGTTCCTAGACTTTACACACTTTTTGGGAAAACCATGTCAGTGGGGAACAACATGTTTGGACTTCTTGTCGGCCACTCCACTCAGGAAGTGAGTTGTATAAGCTGTGGAGGGCCTCTTTTGGTCTACGGATGGCGGGGTCTGTTGTTGTCTCATGGGTATTTGCCCAAAGGCTGGAAGCCATCTGACGAGCTGGTCATTTCCCAAGTCCACCGGGACAGAGTAAGTGACCCGACTTGGTCTCTTGAGGCAAAGGTGGCAGCCTCTTGTGGAAAGTGAATGTGGGTCAAAACCCATGGTACCATTTTGGTTGGTAGGTGAATTCACCACCCATTTTAGAACCTATTTTGGTGGGGATTGGGATGTTCACTGGGGCTAACCGATTTGGATCTTGACCCATGGCCAAGTGAGGGTGCACATGAAAGCCGGAGACCAGGACCTGGGCACCAGACTGGCCGTGAGTATGGGAAAGCATCGGCGCCAGGTTTTCAGCACCAGTCACGCGCTTCTGGCCCTTGCCAGATGGGTATGCTGGGTGTGTGGGAAACGAACAGGAGGTCGCCCACGATTCCGACTCTTGAGAAGCTAGGATCTTGGAGGTTGAAAAGGCTGAAAGGTTGAAGTGCACTGGCTTGAAAGTTCGACTCCAACGTGTTGGGTCTCCAGAAAGGAATCCAGGGGCAAAGACATTTTTCCATCAGCGTCTTGCAGCTGATGAAATGTCTGCTTTGGCCACAGTCCACCAGTCGTTCGGGGTGGGGGGTTTAATCATGGCTACCATGGACCCTTCCATGGACTTAGGAAACCATGGACGCTATAGAGAGGTCGACCCCTCGGGACACTCAGCGAAGAAATGCCCATAGGGAAAGTGTACGATGAACCACGGTGCTAGCTTTGGGGTTAAGGGATCCCCTCGTGTCCTTAGTTATGGTGAAGTTCAAACCAAGAAATGCCTGCTCAACCCAACCCAACTGGCGAGCCTGTCTGAAGGCCAGAAAGGGGTGACGCCGCTCACTTCAGGTGACGGCCTTGAGGATTCGCCGCTTCCCGGGCAGTGGCTGCAGGCGAGCTTCGGGGGTGTTCGGGCGAAGGGAAAAGAAGCTCCGGGCACGGTGGTTTTCATACTAAGGTGGGGGCCCACCTTCCTGAGGTCATGGACGTTACACGTTTTGAGAAGACAATGTTAGTGGCAAACAAGAAGTTCTGACTTTCTGTGGCTAGTGCACTCAAGAAGTGAGACTAAGGTGGGGCTTTAGCTTCCAGAATTTGGAAATTGCTTCCCATCTGCAAGACTGAGTTTGAGCGAAGATGAGGTGTCTCTGATTTAAAAGCGGACATGGCTGGATGTTTGCTATGCCCGTCGTTGTTGAAAGCGTTTAGTTGAACTAATCATTCCCAGACATTTAGATATGCAGTGGCATTTGACCCAATGGGAGGGTAGATGTGGGTATACATGTCCTACATGGATTCTTTGGTTCATTTTGACAAGGGCTGATAGGACTTTAACTTTTTGCCAACTAATGGGTTTTCCACTAAACCACCAAAAGTTATTCACTTTTAGCAGGGCTTCGCAGATTTCGCAACCGAGGATTGTGTGGGATTCTTGCACCGCCATTTGGCACCGCCACTTTGCTTCCGTGAGATGCTGACTTAGGTTCCGGCAAGATCAGAGCAGAGCGGAACGAATTCTCAGTTCCGCAGGTGTCATGATGAGCATACCCAGACAATGTGACTACAAGATGTTGCATCGTCCATATCATTGTTATCATCATCATCATCATCATCATCATCATTATTAATACTAATAATTAATTATCATCATTATTATTAATATCATTATTATTGTTATTGTTATTATTATTTTCATTATTTTTTTATCATTATTATTATTATTCTTATGGATCAACCCCCAGATTGGAGGGGTCGCCAGGCAATGCCCTGAACCATTTTCGTTCATGCAGAAAGCTAGAACAGGTGCCGGCTGGATTACATTGAAACCGACAGTTTTCTCAGTTCTTCAAAGCCGACCTTTTGACCTTTTGGTTTTCCCTTCTTTTTTTTAGTAGAGGTCCCAAAAGGTTAACCTTTTTGGGCAAGTGAGTTTTAGAATGGTGACATGATGACAAGTGCACGATATGTGGCTCCAGAACAAGACCCTTTTTTGTAGTACCAATTGATCCTGAACTCGGGGCCCCGAGCCCTGGCAAAACTGGCAAACCATGTATTGGCTTGCTGCATTCGGAAAATCGGACGCCATGCTGCTCAAGCGTTTTATGTTCATCTTGGCACTGCTGCAGTTCCAAGGGGCTTTAGTTCACCCAATTAGCAACTCGTTGGTGTCCAGACCGTGTGGGCTGCGTCTTCTTCTTGGCATTAGTTGTCTTGCGATGACGCACAAACCGCCTCAGGCGTAGACAAAACAGGGTGCCAGGAACAATGCGAGATGGGAAAGGAACCTTTCTTGGTGGGTGTGAAGGCCATCCAACAGGAAGCCAAGCACGTGTTGCAAGGGTTGCATGTTCATTGTAGTTAATATTATTATTCACCCGGAAAGGCTTTCGCAACGCGGAGCTCCGGATAGGACTTGGTGGTCCTAGACGAGGCAGGCCAATCCGATTGCAAGTCAGACTGAGCAAGCCGATGATTTGATTCCTTGACCCATGCGGCTGTGGCACGTGCTTGGCCCCACCCTAATTAAACCGTATCCGAGCCTCTGAATGAGATTATGTTTTGTGTCTTTTTTTGTGTGTGTTTTTTTCACGACAGAATCCATACCCGGCTAGGTCCCCAAAATCGTGGCCTTTCTCACCAACTTTTTTGGTTGGGATGGGTTCCCCGACTCAAATAGACCACAGAAAAGAAGTTGGTACCCTTATTTTAACTTCTCTACTGGAGGAACTGGGGATGGGTTCCCCTACTAAAATAGACTGGGAGTTTGAGGCTCCGGGGATCTGGATCGCGGGAAGAAACTAATCGAGTTCGTTCGTTCGGGAGCCCGTTTTCTGTGGTGAAAAGCATCCGGTTCCAGGTCCTCGTATTGAATTTCCCCTTTTTTGTGTCATGAGATTTGTGAGGTTCCATTTCTGCGGGCGAAAGTTGTTGTTTGTTCCGGAATGAGAAGGGCAACCAAAAAAGGAAGGCCACGCCTGAAAAGGTTCAGGTCGGAGTGTGAGTCAAACCCTTCCCAAAAAAAAACTTCTCACAGGTTTTGAACTTGTCGGGTCTCAGGTGTCCTGTTTCTTAGGTCTCTCTTTTTTTAGTTGGTTGAGAGGTTGGGATTGCGTTGAACCCACTAAAAGTTAAGCTTGTGGCAGATCGGAGGACAGCCCCATTTGGCAAAAGCGGGTGTGCTTCCATCCGTTTGAGCTGGCTGCTGAAAGGAATGGAAGCCCTTTCGTCAACGCTTTGTTTCCTGTTTTTCATGTTGGGGACAGGCCGACAGTTCGGCCCAGCTATTTCTGCAAATTCCAATGCAGGAAGGTCGGAGTGTTTGTTTGCCAAAGTTCAAGAACACAACGAGCACAGCGAAGAAGCGAATAAACAACAACGAAACTAGCAAGCAATTGTGAACACAGCATGTAACAAAGATATACACATAGGTTTGCATATTCCTCCCCATTTGGAGCCCGACCCCTGGTCCAAAGGGATTGAACACGAGCGCTTCCAGCTGCCGGCCACTGAAACCATGCAAAACACCTATTACAAATAGTCAATACGAGAGGTCTATAGGTACCCAATACCCAAAACACTAAAGCTATAGGGACTGTACCAAGTACCAAAACCACATCAAAGCACCCAGGGGAAGGTCTAAAGAGCTACCCTTGGGATTACCCTCCCACAACTAACAGGGAACCTGACCTTTGGGGGTGGACAGGCACCGGCTCCTCGAACGGTTCCATGTTGAGATGACCCGTGTCTGGAAGCAATAGGGCCTTTTTTCCGCGAAGCACCCGTAAGAAGAGGTCTGTAACCTTCCATCTGCTGAAATGTGTCTTTTAATATACGTTGATTCTCCCAACAAGTTGGTTTTCAAGGGAATCGACTTCACTGGACAAATACGTTTTGGGGCGATGACCTTCAGGAGGTCGCTGGGTTTCAAACTCCGTTTCCCAAGGCCGAGCTGTTGACTTTTTTGGGGTTCCCGTATTTTTTTTGGCTGTGGTTGTCAAAACCGTTTTGGGATCCCATGTTGGTTGGTAGGTGAATTCACCACCCATCTTTGAACCTATTTTGGTGGAGACTGGGATGTTCACTGGGGGTACGATTTGGATTTTGACCCATGGCCATTTCCAGATCTTTTGGGCAAGGGTTAACCTTTTAGTATTCTAGGGGTTGATGTCCCATTCTTTTCAAGCGTTCTTTGCAAAAACCGGATCCGTTTCCCCTGTTTTTTTTTTTTTTTTTTTTTTTTTTTCCGGTTTTTGATGGTTTCCTGAAAAGATTCGGATCCCTGGAAAGAATGGGGAGATCCTTCGATACTGAGGGCGATTGCGATACTGAGTGCCCTTTTACTCCTTTTTGGGGGAGGGTTCCCCTACTAAAGTAGCTACAGAAAAAAGTTGGTACCTTATTCTAACCCCTCAAATCTGGAGGACCTAGTAAATGGGTCTGCCTCCAAAAAATGGCTTTGGTCTGGGGCTAAAAGGTGCCACCAAAACAAGGATTGGATCCTTGAAGGATCCCTTGCAAGAAGGGGACGGTACCCGTAGAAGCAACCTTTGCTTGGTGGCTCCCAGCCATCCGGTTCCTTAGCTTCTTAGCCTTTTAGTGTTTAGGTGTAGTTTCCGAACTTCACCCACTGAAAGTGAGTCGCTTTTCGCGGGGATCCGAAAACGGGCAGCCCAGTGTTGAGAGCAGCTCTGGTTAATACATGGACCTAGGGAATAGAGACGGATCATGGCATCTTCACTTTGGAGTAACCCAAATCCCGGGATTTGGGGAAGACCCCCAGATGAAGCAGAGGGATTCCCTCAGTTGCAGTCATGGGTTGTTGTTGGGAAACATTTGACACCTTTTTGGCTTCTTGTGGTTTAGTGGTTTAAATCCAACCACTTAACTGCTAAGATTTGAGAATTGGTTTGCTCCTCCAACGTCAACCAAGTTTAATTATGGGCTCCCTTTTTGGGTTGGTTCCCTGGAAGAGTTTTTGATGGGTGACTCCTTCTTTTCGGCCGGTACTTGATGGAATATTTTTCTATCACTGGAAATATGAAGATGTTCCGTGGGGATTGTCCAGTTTGTCCATGGGGATTGTTTCCTGGGTCGCTTCAAGGGAACCATGTGGATTGGCCTTCGGTTCCCCTTCGCTTCGGTTGCGGCAGGGGCTTCGGCGCCTGGCGCCCCCCTGGCGACCACCGAGCCCAGGCGAAGCGGTTCCGAAGTGGCGGTTTGGGCGGTTCCCAGCGAAGCGTCCGGGTGCTTAGGGTTTGAGGTTGTCAGGTTTTGTGGGTTCTGGGGTTTTTAGCCTTTCTTTGTTTTTTTTAGGTTTTGAGTTTTGAGGTTTCTAGGTTTTCTTTTGTTTGTTTAGGTGTTGTGGGTTCTGGGTTTTTAGTTCTTTTTTGTTTTAAGGTTTTGAGTGTTTGTGGGTTTTTAGGTTTTATTTTGATTTTATAGGTTTTGAGTTTTTGTGTTGTTTAGGTGTTCTTTTGTTTTTATAGGTTTTGAGTGTTTGGGTTTTTTAGGTTTTCTTTTGTGTTTTGACTTTTTGGGGTTTTAGGTTTTCAGGTTTTCAGGTGCTTTTGGTCGGTTTAGTGGTTGGGGTTTCTGAATTGAAGCCACTGAAAGCTCAACTTGGGGATCTGACAGCCAGGTGCCATAAGAACCCCCTCGATATGGTGTTGATTTTGATGGGTGTCTCCTTTTAGTGGTAGTTCAGACCACTTTTGGAGGGGACAAGCAGCTCTTTAATCGAACGGAGTTATTGATCTGGGGTCAACGTTACATTGCAAGACCCGAACATTTTCGTTGATTGAGGTTACCCTTTCACCTTCAATTGTTTTTAATGCAAAGGACCCACCCCCCACTTTCAGTGTTTCGACACGAGGAATGAGGTCTTCCCAGCTTGAGTCTGTATGCTTCCACCCCTCATGGTGTAGAAGCCCCTCTGAAACTTTGGTCCCTCTATTCAATTTGCGAACAGGAAGGTCCGCCTGCAAACTATTTGGATTTGTGGTTTGGCACTAGATCTTTAAAAAGGCTACCATGATAGAAAATCAATTGTCCAAATTGATCCGAGCCCTTCAGTGATGACCAATCTTATCTTTCTCTGGTGGGGGTGGCTCGTTTCATCCAATTGCAATTGAAGAAAAGTGGTTCTTGTTGTCCATGGCAGCAGCACTTCCACTGGAAGGGTACTGCTCCCTCACACCTCCTTTTCCGGGCCCAGCGCAAGGGAAGAAGTGTCAGGCTCGGGTCAAATGGCTGTACGGTGTGTCAGTGATCATAGGTTGCACGACGACCAAGAAAGAGGGCAGGAATTCCGAGGGTTGAAGTGTTCTCATCATGTGATGCCTTAAAGACCCTTTGATCACGTCCAGGTTGGCAAATATATCCTTTCGGATGGTTTCCAAGAACTTCTCTAGCCCAAAGCCAGCCTAGGTCCCAGTTTTGGCTAGCTCCCTTCCGTGTAGAAAAAAAAACCAAAGCAGGACACCTGAACGCGGCGAGGCCAAGTGATGGAGGGCAGAGTTGTCGCAGTGGCTGTGGCCTTGACTGCAGACTTGGCTGGCTGGGCCTCCTTTTGAGGTTAGCTTGGTGAGAGTACCATTGATTTGGTTATCTAGCTCCCCAGCGAGGTGCTAACTTTTACCAACTTTTAAGGGTTCCCCTACTAAAATAGATTACAGACAAAGGGCACCCTTCTTCTAACCTCTCTACTGGATGACCTAGTTATAATCATTGTCTTTCTAGGCGTACCATCCATTTCCATTCTTTCCAGGCATCCGAATCTTTCTACAAACCCACCCAAAACCCTGGGGAAACAGCGATCGGTTTTTGAAAAGAACAATGGTTGAAAAGAATGGGGAATCGCCCCCTAGAAGCTTGGTGAGAGTAGATGGGTTTCATTGATTAGGTCACAATCATTCTTGCTGCCAGTACCGCAAAAACTTGGTCAATACGACACCTAGCTGTGGGAGGCGGACGAATCCCGGAATTGGGGCCCAATTTCAGGGTATTTTCTTGTACCACCCCACTCAACTTTCATGATTGGATTTGTTCCGCAGGTGGCTTGAAAAGGACATGGTGACTTTCATTTTTCAGCGGGTATGTCGGCTCTGGTAGCATAAATGACCAGTTGACCTGTTTGCATGTGCACGAGTTCACTTGGCAACCATCAAGTGAAACTGTAAAGGGAAAGCGAGTGAGAGGTTTGTCAGGTTTCAATTTGCCTTCTCACTGCCTAAACCCTCAAACTACCCTTAAAAATGGGGTAGTGCCCAAAACATATGGCGTGGTTTCCCATTTTTTCAGGCTACTGGGTTGGATCTTTCGACTTTCACTTTTTGGTTGAAATCAAGTTGGGTTTTCCACTAAACCCCCAAAAAGTGATTCACCTTTTGCAGGGTCGGAGGGAGGTAGTCCTGAGAGGCGCTTTTGATAAGAAAACCTATGGCGTATGCCCAGAAGAAGCCGAGGACACCTTGGCCACAGTGGACATCGCCTCGTCGCTCTTCATTGCCACTCGCTTGAAACACCCACAGCTTTCTAGTAGAACCTGGTCCCTCAAAAGGGTCCCTTAAAAGGGGGTGAATTGTAAAGGTCTCCATAAATTCTAAAGGTACCTTCCATGTCCTATATTTTCCAGGGATCCGAATCTTTTCTAGAAAACCATCAAACAGTTTGAGGAAATGGCGATTGGTTTTTGAATAGAACGGGAATCAACCCCTAGAGGCTGGAACGTGAAGGGGCATGGTGCCCGTTGTACAACTTTTTTTGGGAGGATTCCCCTACTAAAATAGACAACAGCAAAAAAGTTGGTACCCTTATTCTAACCTCTCTACTGGAGGGCCTAGCCTTTGTTCTACAAAACGGACACGGATCCGTGTCGGCGTGAAAACGAAGGCGGTCAAAGATCCTCGGAGTCACTTCCGCAAGTCCCCCCCAAGAAGTCTTTGACGCCACGCCCAGTGTGCGAGGTCAGCGGTTTCCATGGAAGGCCCATGTCAGGTTTTCGTTTTTTTTCTTCCTTTTTCGAACAATGCCAGCGCCGAAACCGACGACGGAGAACCAATAAAGCTCGCGCTGTGTGGGCTGTTGCCCAGACCTTCCTGCCGGACGTCCGGCAGCCTTGTGAATCTTTTCGGGTTCCCTTTCAATCCAAGCCCTGGTAACGAGAGGAAACAGACCGTCCCAGCGAGATTCGCCCAGTTGGTTTCTACCAGATGTAACGGCTAAACCTTTATAGAACTATGTTTGGTTGCGAGCCAAAAGTTGATTCGTGGGACCATGTCTGTTTCTCTCCGCCTTTTCGTTCCTTGTTCCATTCGGAAGCCAGTCTCAAAGTCGCTCGGGTTCTGGTGTGTCCTCGAATCCCAGGGCAACGTGCACCGCAGATGGTGGCGGCATTTGCCGAAGGCGAGCAGTGTGGCAAAGAGTTGGTTACCTTCTTTAGTTGGTTGGATGGCTGTTGGTCTCCTTTTGGTACCCTTTGTCCTTTTTGTTTGTATGTATTTTACGACTCTCATGTTGTTTCTTTTTGAGTTTCTTTTCTTTTGGGTTGATTCTGGTTCTCAGCAGATGTTTCCTTTTGCTTTCATGTTTCTTTGCGTTTTGGTTTCCTTGTTTCAGATGGCATCATCCCAGATGTCCCGAGAACTTGATGTCGAGGCATTCAAAGGGAGCGTTTGGATTCCTCCAGTCTTTGTGCATCTAAACTGCAGTCTAATAGGGAACCCTGAAAGGTGACGTTCTCTTAGGGACCCGGAGGGTCTTTTTTGCTCGTTGATTTGGTTTTGGCTCATCTCAAACGGGCATCCTCAACCCAAATGCCTATAGTTTCATGGATGGTGTGTTAATTCCAAGTCGTTGGCTTGTGGCAAACAGACGAATTGCCCTTCCGCCCTTTTCACATGGACCCTGACGTGAAAGGGGGGTCCTGGTTTGGACCAGTTTCCCTTCAAAAAATGTCCGGGTGCCGAACATCAGGAAACCATATCATACTGTGGATGGACGAACTCCTGCACCAGCAGAGAAGCCATGGAAACCATTGTTTGTTGGTGTTTACAAGGGAATCATCAGAAACCAGGGTTTCTCACGTGGTGCGAAATGGATTTTGTCCATCCACAGTAGGAGTGGGAGGGTATCCATTTTCTAGCTCTGGTCCAAGAAGGATGGACATCACGTTGCCATGTTCTTCCATTTGCTTAACAGTTTTTAATTTGCCCCTGTTGGTTTTAAAGGGAGTCTATCACTACTGGAAATATTGTTATTTTTCCCATTGGGCTTAACCAAATGGAAGTGTTCCTGTAGGCGCCGAAGCTTGTAGGCGGTGTGGGGGTCTGGATTTGGGTTCTATTGAGAACACCTCTTGGGCTTTTACCCGAACTCTTCCGTTCTGTGCTAAGCCACTGCCTGTTAGGCACCAAGGCTTCGCAAACTCTCCTTTTGGTCAGCCACCCAAACCCCCCGAGGAAAGACGCCCGTGTCTTTCGTGTCTTCCCCCCCCGGAAGAAAGGAAGCAAAGCAAACACCGAGGGAAACATACAAGTTTTAGATTGCAACGCCTATTGCACCCTTTTGTGCCTCAATGCCCCCAAACAAAACAAGCGAGAAGCAAGCACTTTAACATGTCAGATTTCGACGCCCCCCTTATGCTATTGTCAATATTTGTGCCACGCCTATGTTGTAGAATCAGCAAATGGTTACTGAGCAGTTGGTTTCAAGATCAATGACAGAAACAGGCTGCAGAAATTCCTCCAGGACATTTGCCAAAAAATACCCAACACAAGGATTTCCGGTAAATTCTGCTGGAGCTGGTTCCCGTCAAGGCCACTCCAACGATACAAATCCGCGGTTCATCATGGCCTTCTCCAGCACTGGCAAATATCGATTGCAGTTTTCTTGGTCAGACAAGGTGAAGACTGGAGAGCTCTGAATAAATCAAAAGGCCCCAAGGAACCCTTGAACATCACTTGATGATCAGATGGGAACGGTTGGATGAATCAGACGGAATTCCAAATATGGCTGCTATAACTATTCACAGGGTGTTCACCTCAATGGTAGGTAGACATGAATCCACCAAAGGGTTCCTAATCAAACATCACACCCAGGGTATTTACACACAAGCGGCTGGACATAAAGCTTGCACGTAGGCCCCAGTGGATGTAGGTCGGGGAGCGGCTGACACTGCTGGTGCTGCGGGTTTCTTCCTCCATTGTGGAGCTTCGGGAGCAGTGGCCGCAGGAGCGATGGCAAATTTGCGCTCACCAAGAAAGAACCCTTCCAGGTCCCCCAGTCTCACGAACATTTTTTGGGGGTTCCACTACAATAGACTACAGAAAAAAGTTGGTACCCTTATTCTAACCTCTCTACTGGAGGACCTAGCCTTGCTCACCTTGACAGGTTCTAACTCACGTGTAAGGAATGTTGACCCCGTTTTAATCATCCCTGGTTTTACTAATGAGGGGGTGTTTTTCTGGGTGTTGTGAAGAAGCATTACTTTTGGAGGGGAACAACCCCTATGAATAAACTGGGGTTGATTAATATGGGGTCAACATTAGCATGCGAAAGGAACCCATCTGTTCCCCACAAGGGTCAAGCCACAGATGGTCTGCAGGCTGTCATAGCTTTCCCAGCGAATTTGACATGACGATGCGGTTGTGCCGCTTTTGCTCAGCACTCCTTTGCACATGGACTTACCCATAAGGATGGTCATCGTTTCCAGCTACAGGACACTAGAACTGTTTCTTCCCTGTACTTGCTGTGCACTTTCAGACTTGCCTGACCAACACGGGCATGCAACATTAGGCCCAACAAATTCAGACCCGTCCTGGCAGTTTCAGACTTGCCTTACCAACACGGGCATGCAACATTAGGCCGATTTTGTCCCTCAGGGTTTGCTCCAAACCTTGCGGATGACCAAACCACGGTGAATGACACGCTTCGAATTGTTTTGCTTTTCCGGGGCCTATGTTCTGGCCTACTCTGAGGGCAACTTGGGTCAGAATCCCCAGGCAAGTTAGGCAACTAGGTCCCCCAGGATCCTGCCCTTTCTCACCCCTTTTTTGGGGGAGGGTTCCCCTACTAAAATAGACTACAGAAAAAGTTGGTGCCCTTGTTCTAACCTCTCTGGAGGACCTAGACATATTGGGGACGGTTTTTGCTTCCTTTAGGCAAGTGAGCCTTTCGAAGTCGAGGGCTTCGAAAGCGCGGACCCAGGTGGACATGGCAACATCGGGGGATTTGAACCCCAAGAATTCTGGCGTTGGCTCCATTTTATGGGAGCTTCCGGCTGTTCTGAGGGAGGGTACCCTCCAACAAATGCACAACCAACTATAGAGAACCTACAACGTGGTCTTGTTAATTGGTATAAGGGGACTTATAGTCAAGGTTAGCAGAACTAGCAATTGTGTATCTAAGATAACTAGAACTAACTGTAAACAACTAGAATAAGTAAAGCTAATTAAAATAACTAGAAATAACTTTTTAGACGGCTTTTTTGCACCTTGTTTTGCAGAAGCGACAAAATGCGGAAATTGCAACGAATTATCGAGTTTGGCATAAATCGCAGCCAAAAATGCGCAACTGGCAGTCTGTAAAATCTGTACAGTCATGGAAACACCTAATTGACGCGGCGAATTATTGACAAGCAGGGGTCCATGGGAGCCTGTGCTTCGCAAGCGTGCTTGTTGATTGAGGGTTCGGTCATCAGATATCTATTTTTTTTTCGCATGTGTGTTTGTCCGTTGAGTAGCTGCAGTAGGAAGCTTTCGCATCAGCTTTGTGTCTTTGGCAGCCAGGGTTTCCTACATTTGGCTGGGCCAGTTTTCGCCCGGCAGATTTTTTTTGGCAGCTGCCTCTGCTGAACCCGACTGCGCGCCAACTTTCAGGAAGCAGGACTTACCTGCAGCGGGCTGCTGCAGCTAGAAGCTGACTCTGCAGGCCAGGTCTCAGGCACACCTGGACTCGTTTGCTGCCGCGGGTTTGCGCGGCAAGCATTTCAGCAGCCGGATTTTTCATGGGAGCCTTTGCTTCACGTGCAAAGTCTGCAGAGTGGAACACGCGGGTTTACACGGCGAGCATTTCAGCAGCCGGATTTTTCATGGGAGCCTTTGCTTCACGTGCGATGTCTTTAGAGTGGAACACGCGGGTTTACACGGCGAGCAGCAGCCGGATTTTTCATGGGAGCCTTTGCTTCACGTGCGATGTCTGTAGAGTGGAATACGCGGGTTTACACGGCGAGCATTTCAGCAGCCGGATTTGTCACGGGAGCCTTTGCTTCACGTGCGATGTCTTTAGAGTGGAACACGCGGGTTTACACGGCGAGCATTTCAGCAGCCGAATTTTTCATGGGAGCCTTTGCTTCACGTGCGATGTCTGTAGAGTGGAACACGCGGGTGTACACGGCGAGCATTTCAGCAGCCGGGTTTTTCACGGGAGCCTTTGCTTCACGTGCGGTGTCTGTAGAGTGGAACACGCGGGTTTACACGGCGAGCAGCAGCCGGATTTTTCATGGGAGCCTTTGCTTCACGTGCGATGTCTGTAGAGTGGAGCGCGGGTTTACACGGCGAGCATTTCAGCAGCCGAATTTTTCATGGGAGCCTTTGCTTCACGTGCGATGTCTGTAGAGTGGAACACGCGGGTTTACACGGCGAGCATTTCAGCAGCCGGATTATTCATGGGAGCCTTTGTTCACGTGCGATGTCTGTAGAGTGGAACACGCGGGTTTACACGGCGAGCATTTCAGCAGCCGGATTTTTCATGGGAGCCTTTGCTTCACGTGCGATGTCTGTAGAGTGGAACACGCGGGTTTACACGGCGAGCATTTCAGCAGCCGGATTTTTCCTGGGAGCCTTTGCTTCACGCGCGATGTCTGTAGAGTGGAACACGCGGGTTTACACGGCGAGCATTTCAGCAGCCGGATTATTCATGGGAGCCTTGGCTTCACGTGCGATGTCTGTGGAGTGGAACGCGCAGGTTTACACGGCGGGCATTTCAGCAGCCGGATTTTTCATGGGAGCCTTTGCTTCACGTGCGATGTCTGTAGAGTGGAACACGCGGGTTTTCACGGCGAGCATTGCAGCAGCCTTTGCTTCACGTGCGATGTCTGTAGAGTGGAACACGTGGGTTTACACGGCGAGCGTTTCAGCAGCAGGATTTCTTCAAGGGAGCCTCACTTCACACGTGATGTCTGTAGAATGGAACACGCGGGTTTCCACGGCGAGCATTTCAGCAGCAGGATTTTTCATGGGAGCCTTCACTTTACATGTGATGTCTGTACAATGGAACAGGCTTGCTTCCACGGTGAGCATTTCAGCAGCAGGATTTTTCATTGGAGCCTTCACTTCAGAATGTTTTTTAATATAGGGAGTGAAACACGTGGTTCGCCGCGACTGGTTCCATGAGGCCTCCGGGCAGCAGCTGCTTCCTGCGTATCTCTGAAAGAAGCTTTGGCGTCATCCGCTTGCAGAGTTCTAACTATTACCGGAAAATGAGACACTAAGAGCGGAAAAGAGGGATACTAAGAGCGGAAAAGGAGATACTAAGAGCGGAAAAAGTAATAGTTCTAGTAGTAGTAGTTCGAAATGCGGCTTCCCTTTTTGGTCTGGCCCCAGAGAGAGGGAATCCGCTTTTCGGGCCCCATTGCCGGCCAGCACCTCGAAATCCGGATTCCCTTTTTGGTCTGGCCCCAGAGAAAGGGCATTGCCGCCAGCGCCTCGAAATCCGGATTCCACTAGTACTACTACTAGTACTACTAGTGCTACTACTACTACTACTACTACTACTACTACTACTACTAGTACTACTACTACTACTACTACTACTACTACTACTACTACTAGTACTACTACTACTACTACTACTACTACTACTACTACTACTACAACTACTGCTACTACTACTACTACTACTATTACTACTACTATTGCTTTTTCCGCTCTTAGTTCATTTTTTCCGCTCTTAGTTGCTTTCAGTTTTCCGCTCTTAGTGGCTAATAGTTTTCCGCTCTTATTTCGCGCTCTCCATCCGCTTGTTTCTTTCTGCGAAGTAGTTGGTTTTGCTTCCCACCTTCCCCCTTTTGACTGCGACAAGTTTCTTTTGGCCAGGATTTTTGTTCTTGACTCCGATCGCAAGTTTCTAGTCTCAGGATTTTTCTGCACATGGGCTGCTCCGCAGGAAAGCCGCGGCACATCGCGGCACGTCGCGGCACATTCCACGGGGCCGAATTTTGCAAAAACAACGCTCCGGCCAAACGCCGCGGCACATCGCGGCACGTTGCTATTTCCGGCGGGGCTTCTGCAACAAAATCCAACCGAAAAAATGCAGGGATCAAATTTCGGGCAGGGACCGCTGGCACTACTTTGGGGTGAGACAATTGAAACACAAAAGCACCACAAAAAGGCATGGGGAGAAAAGCGGATGTGAGTCCATGGAGGCCAAGCACCGCGCCTTCAAGAACTGCATTGCGGACAGGGTTGGCCAGTTTGCGGGCCGAGGCATTCCCGCGGCGTCTCCGCCGCGCTTCCTGCTCTCACATGCGCACGAGCTTGATCAGCACGACGTCTTCCAGTTGGGCCTGCGAAAGCCAACGGAGTGCCCGGCCCTGCGGCAACACTTGCCGCGCGGTGATCAGCATACCTCTTGCGGCCCAAGAGGCACGCTTGCCGCAAGTTTCGGTCGCTAGCGCCGATGTGCTAAGCACGCGCGACGAAGCCTGCATAGTGCGTGCTTGCTGCGACAACGGCAGCCTTCTCTTCATCGTGCAAGAGGAGACGGATCAATCTTTGCTGTGCCTGGAGTAAAAACAAGTCGCAGCGCTTGCGCAGCCATGCCGCGGAAACAGCGCGGCTGTATAATTACATATTTATCGCGCTGTATTTGTGCAACTGATGTGTATACATATATATATATATACTATTTCTATTTCATAGAGTCAAGCATCTTCTTTTGCCGAAATGCGCAGCTGAGGCGGCTCAGCTGCGCAGTCACACGAACCAACTGCGCTCCAACAAAATTCAGAACAATCAAAATAAACACTTACAATATAAACGTCATCGTTTACGCGTGAAAAACATTGTTGTTTCAAGAACCATGCTCAACAGCTTTTTTCAAGCTACATGCTCTTGGCAGAATTGCCACATTTTCGTCTAACTAGAACAACTAAAATAACTAACACCGGTAAAATGAGAAGTCAAGTTAAAGCCTTGCTCTAATCAAACCAGCTAGAACCTTAGGCCCAACGCCCCATCAACCAAACGGCCCTGAGAGCCATTGAGAACCTTTGAGGAGTCACTGGCGGGCTTGAAGGCGGGGTCGCGCGCGCCGGCCGGCCGGCTCTGGGATTCTTTTTTCTCGAGCCCAGTCCGACTTCTTTGAACCCCAGAGAGGTTCTGGGCCTTCCTAAGGGACTCAGACTGGGCCTTTCAAAACTAGGTCCCCCAGGATCGTGCCCTGTCTCACCCCTTTTTTGGGGGAGGGTTCCCCTACTAAATTAGACTATGCATAAAAAAAGGGTACCCTTATTCTAGCCTTTCTACTGGAGAACCTAGAAAAAGAACCTTAATCCTTACCTTGGGCTACGCAAGGAACCAAAAAGGTCTTCCCTATAGGGATTATGGAAAATCGGATTGGCCAACCCTCCGTTTTTGAGCAGCCCAAAAGCCATCCTGAGGAGGTACCTGAATGGACCCGGGTCAGCCAGCTGGCGAGCGCTTTGTTTGTCAGCGCCCTCCAATTTCTGTTTCAGCGGAGTTTTGGGCACGCGCAATGTTTCCGGCGTCAGGGCTTTTATATTTTTGTGCAAACCGCAGTTGTTTTGCCTTTGCACCCGAACCCACAACAGTTGTCAATGTGGTCAACTGTCCCCGGCCGATGCTTGCCCGGGCTCTGCTTTTTGGATCATCCAAAAGCAATCTATTCGGAGGAGCCCTGGGTTACTTCACTGCAGTAAACACGTGTGCACCCATAACGGTTCACATGTGTCACTTTACAATGGACAGATATGGACAGATGTTGTTCGTGAGACCGACCCGAGAATTGGTTCACCTTTTTACCGCACAATTTACGCAGGAGCTTCAGTCATGTTTTTGCTTTTCTTTTCTTTTTTAAACAAGACCCCGGGAACTCTTTTGGGCATTTGTTATACATATCTGGTATATGGGCTGATTGACTAATGGAGTATCAGTATCATGGCTCATGTTTGGTTTCTGCTCTGATTGCCTGGAGTATCAGTATCATGACATCTGATTGACTTATGGTCTATGGTTCATATGCCCAACATAGTCGATGTCCTCAAATGGTTTATGTCCTCAACCGGACATCTGGTTTCTGGGCTTCAGGATCCGAGGCTTTTAGGCTCCCTGGAAACGCCTTCAACCTCTGAAGTTGGCTCCGGCGAGCTCGACTTGCGTGAGTATCCCCCAGGCTCTGGTGACCAAAGCGGAAGGACAAATCCCTCTGATTGAAACGTGGTGATGCCAGAGGCAGATCAGTTTTACCCGGGTCGAGCCACACAGAAAGGCAAGGCCAGCTAAGGGTAGAACAAGCTGAATGTCTTCCTCAAGACCGCCCCTTTAACTCTTGAATGCAGGGTTCCTTTTTGACTAAGGCTTAAACCCAGGGCTTCTCCTTTTGGGGGGATGAACCACCCCTGGGTGTATGTCTACTCTGGGTAGTCGAAAAGCACCCCACTCAAAACACGCGGCGCAGGCTTTTCGGTCTCAGCCCAGGTGGTGCCGCTGAGCGACACCGCTGAGAGAGGCGATGAGACCGTGGTGAATGTGGCGCCTCCGTCTGCGAGAGAGAAAGTCATGTGCCAATGAATTTGACTGGGCCTAAACCCCCAAACTGCCAACTTACAAATGGGTAGTGCCCCATAATTATGGGGTGATGTCCCTTTTTGTCATGGTAGTCTGAGGGTCCAGGAACACGGTGGGTATAACTTCTCGTGTAAATGATGTCTACCCAACGTTGGGCAAAATGAACCGCGACGGTCACCGCGCTTTGCGACGTCATGCAAAACTCCCTGGTGAGGCATTTCTTACGTCAGCAACGGTCTTCACTTACCATCATGTACTGCAGGGGGGATGTCATAGGTCACACAAGCTCCAAATATGCCCTAAAGGCAACCATAAGGCAACCTTAGCTTAAGCTCATCTGCGCCGGCCATTTGTCAATTTGTTGGTCATGTCGCTTGGAGAAGTATGGAGAAGTATGGAGAAGTGGGAAGAACTCAAACCTGACCCGGTCCTGGGCTTTGGGCCCCTATCATGGTTGTTGTTGGGAAACATTTTGTATTTTTCCTATTGTGGTTGAGTTGTTTTGAAATCCCACCACTTGAGTGCCAAAAAACATGTTTCTCCCCTTCCAACGTCAACCAAGCACTATGTGAATGAACTGGTTTCTTCTCAGATCCAGGTAACTGAAGGGGGTCACCACAAATGGGAACGGGAAACCTGTCATGCCAGGATGTGGCTGGTGCAGGGGATCGAACCCATCACCATCCGCTTGCGAAGCGCATACTCTACCAACTGAGCTTAAGAGGCCGTGCGAGGTCTGCGGCGCGTCTAGTGGATGAGTCGTAGGCGAACTTCCGCAGCAAGCTTAGAAGGCGCAACGGCCGCCACGACTCATCCAGACGAGGCGCGGACAGCTACATTGCCCTTCACGCGCCTCGCAAGGCCTCTTTAGCGCAGTTGGTAGAGCATGCGCTTCCCCATAGGAGGCTCTTGTAAACTGTGCGGCCTGTTTTTTTCCTTTTTTTTTCTCCAAGAACTGCCTCAGAGGCACCTGTGGTCCAGTGGATTCCGCCCCTTTTCTTCATGTGAACCAACCCAAAAAAGAACGCGCTTTGTTTGTCCCATGGCCAGCTGGCATCTGAGGCACTGTAAGTCTTGCACTTTTGCCAGCGTCGCAGGTTGATGCGCGTTGGACCCTGAAACACCCTTTAATCATGAAATCCCTTTTACGAGGGGAGACTCTAGTGGCTTCCATCCCTCATTTCGAACCCAGGAGAAGTCTTAGCGCGCAGAGCGTCGGTGCCCCGAGGTGAGTGTTGCCGGCAAAAAGTGGCAGGTGCTGGACAAAAAGCTACCGGACGTGTCCGATACTTTGGCTGCAAGCGGGGCGTGGAAAAAAGGATTGCCACTCACTGGTCCACCCAGTAGCCGGGATATCTCCGGGAGAACTGGCAGTCTCAAGATCCTTTCGCAACTTGGTTTGAAAAGTTGATGGGTTCCAGGCTTTAGTTCACATCTCACTCAGTGAAACCCATCTAAATTCGTGCAAAAAATGAACAGAGAGATTGCCACCGCTTGGATTGCCATATGTGACTGTGCCAAGGCACAGAGTAATCGGGGAGCCGGCTCACACAAGAAAAGCCCGCCTCATTCGGCAGCTTTTTTTTTCAGCTAGCTGTCCAGAAACAAGTTGCGGTGTTGCAACTAGTTCCATTGGGTGTGTTGGCTTTAATGGGAGTCCCTTTGGTGGACACCATTGGGAGATTCTTGTCCGCCAACCACTGCTGAAGGGTTCTCTATTGACATGGTTTAGCCCTTTGACGGCATTTTCATGGTTGAGGCTGAGCTCGTGGGTGCTTGAGTTGATGGATGTCAGATCAAGGAACACGCTTAAGGCCCGCTGAGCACCCGTAAAACGAAAATTCGGCCGCCTTTTGGTATTTCTTCGGGATGTGTTTTGTTTATGTCAAGAGCCAAAGGGTGACCACCTTTCATACTATCCTTCCATTTGCTTAATAATATATGTTTGTTTTCCCCTGTTGGTTTTAAAGGGAATCTATCTATCACTGCTGGATTTTCTTTTTCCGGGGGTCTTAACCAAATGGAAGTATCCAGGTCCGTCGCTAGTAAGTTCCCTACATTGATGTTTTTGTTGAAGGACCCTATTCAAGGATATTGAAACGGAAGCCAAAGGGTGAGTCTCCAATTTGCCAAAGGTGGACAGCTTAAGTGGTGTTTTCACAGCGAAGGGTTACATTTTGGGTGTGTTTGAAAACCAAGCCAAAGGGAGCCAAACACATCTTCTAAGTTTTCCCTGTCTTCCCCCCCCACCCACGCCTGTATCTTCCCTTGGTGGCTCCCAGCCATCCCCTCAGCTTTTTAGCCTTTTAGTGTTTAGTGGTAGTTTCCGAACTTAGCCCACGAAAAGTTACACACTTGTAGCGGGGGATCCGAAAACGGGCAGCCCAGTTCCTTCCCTGTCCTTCCCCCTTCCCAGTCAGCCTCGTGCTGGACAGCATCCCTTTCGTGGTGCCGCCCCGAAGCAACCCGAGGACCGCGTCTTCGCCGGAGCGGTTCTCGTAGGTCGTGTGCTGCGCCATGGCAGGAAGTGGATGTTTGCTTGAGCTTTTTTTCTGGAAGCCTGATGAGTTGTTGTTTTTTGTGTTTTTTTTTGGGGGGGGGGGAGGTTGAAGTGGAGAATTTGTTGTGGTTGCTTTGTTTTGTGGGGGGGTTCTCAAAGTTACTTTGAGAGTGTGGAATTCAAACCACCTGCGTCATTTTCAGGATGTCATGTTAATGCACAATATGATTTCAGAGTCATTTTTTGTGTGACCCATCTTTGCGGTTCCGAGGCGTTGGTGAATCCCTCCTGGGACGCAGGTATCCCACCCTTCAACCGCTGCCGCAACAAAATGACCTGGACAAGGCCCCCGCATTATCACTCCCTCGACTTCCCCCGCAACCACCAGCACTACCACCGCCGCCGCCCCCGCCACTGCCACCGCGCCCGCCACCACCACCACCACCACAACCACAACCACAAAAGCAAGAACAAGCACAACCACCACCACAACCAACACCACAACATAACAACAACCACAAGCACAAGCACCAGCCACTACAGCTGCAACTACCACTCCAGGTCACTGAATGGGATTTTGGTGGACGTGGCAGAGAAGTACTTGGCGCAAGTTGGGCCACTTGGGCCTGCGATTCAGATCGCCGTTTGGAGGTTGGAAGGGACCTGTTCCCGGAGAACCAGATGTGCTTGTGAAGGGGGAGCTGCTCTGCGCTACCGATCGGAGTTCGGGTTCGGGACATTGTAGGCACCCACAGAACCTGCGATTTCAGCGTGGCCGAACAAAGATGCCTTCGAGTTTGTGCCCGCCCGCCCTCCAAGCGTTTTTGGCCCTCATCGCGATTTCCATTCTTGCCATTGCGTGCCACCACTTCTTGGTTACTCGTAGGAATGTTTGAGCTACATGGTCCAAATCATGGGTGTCTATTTTTAGGGTACCCCCAAAAAGAGTGGTTTTTCCTATGGTGTGCCTCTAAAACCACACACCGAAAAAAAGAAACAAAAACACACACGAAATAATACACACATCTCCAAAACGACCCACGCAAGCTTCGCCTTGCCTTAGGCCGGATGCCCTGACGGAGCCCATGGCCGAGTTGTGCGTGGGGCGGGCGCTGCATCTGCGCGTGCTCAAAGTGGATCACCAGCAGCAGCTGGGGCCTCGATGTCGCCGATCCCTCGAGTCGAGCGCAGCTTGGGCGGATGAACTGACTGACCCCCGGTTTTTAAGTTGTTCAGTGGCACCCTTTTTCCCCTTTTTTTTGGTGGCTGCCCCACTGAAAATGGTCTTCCCCAAAAAGGGTTCCCTTTTAGCTGTCTGGCCCAAATCCATTCAGCTCAGGGAGTAGGGCCCCCGGGGACCTGCGACACTCCATGGTGCGTTGGTCGTCCACCAAGCTGTGGTCTCCTCCACAGTGCCCCGCTTTTCGTGTGCGGGCCCCCCTAGTGGCCTCCCTGCTGTGCCCGTTGTGCTGTTGGCGTGCTGTTCCCCCTTTTTGGTGGTGTCGCCCTTTCCCCTGGCTTGGTCTCTTTCGTTGATGGCTGCTTCGCTTTGGTCCTGGTGTGTGGATTGCTTTGGTGGGGTTCCGCTGCATGTGCCCATCCCTGCGTTAGGGATGGGCCCTGTTCTTCGGCCCTCTCCTCTCACTGCATGGTGGCGATTTGATGCCCCAGGTGCCGGGTGCAAACCTCATGGTCCCTCCCCGGGAGTTCCACTTCTGGCATTGATTTATACTTTGTGGTGCTGCTGCCCTACATTCCTTGTGGCCTTGGTGATTTTGCCTCTCTGGAGACCTACAGTTGTACAGTGTTTCGGCTTTTTTCTACTACTTGGGCTTTGCTACATCCTCATCTACCGGACTTGTGGGGTTGATAATCAACCGGTAGGTGCCGACTTTCCTCGGGCCTTTTCGTTTGTTTTCCTCGCCTAGCAGTGCAGTGGTTGCAGTGGTGGTGGGAGCTGGCTTTGGCTTTGCCTACTTGGCGCCTGTGCGGCCCTGGATGCTGGCCTTTCCCGACTTGGGTACGTGTACAAGCAGATTTCCGAATCCGCTTGGCAGTGTGGGGTTCTCAATGGCATGGTGAAGTTTGTGCAGATGCTTGGCGCCCTGGGCATTGTGCTGAAGGGCATCGTGTTGTCCAACTGGCAAGCCCCGATGAAGCGAACCATGCAGACCCGGCTCAATGCCGTGGATGCTTTGCTGACTATGGCTGTGGTATGTGTCACTGGTGAACACCCGTCCCACCAGGCCTGTTCAGATGGTTGGGCGGCATGCCCCTCCGTCAGCTGGCGAACTCGTCGCCCGCCGTGTGCCAAAAGGGTTCCCTTTTTTTCCAGGGTCACTGAACAACTGAGATATATTAAGAGACCGGGTGTTGCTCTCCGAAAGTGAGAATTCCACACTGAACCTGAAACCCATGACCCCTGTCTTTTGGGAATGACAAGATGTTTTTTTGAAAGAGTCATGGAGGCTCTAGGTGTGCCATTGTTGTTAGGGGCCAACACAATGTAGTTTGGCCACAAACAAAGGGTACCCTCCAAAAGATGGATGAGCCAGCCAATTGTTTTCTAGTTCCCCAAGGGTCAAGACGCTTCCACTCTTAAGGACTCTGGAATGCAGGCCACCCCTGTCCTTCAAGAGGCGTTTACCGTGTTGGAAGGTCTGGTGCAATGTTGGGGGAAGATTACACGGGACCCCCAGTGGAAAGGACAAATTTGCAATGGCACGTGCGTATGGCATAGCTTTTTGGGACGGCTTCAGCAATTGACACTCTTGACGGTATCGTACTGGGTTTGTTTCCAGTTTAGAAGAGTTGCTTTGCAACTTGGTATAGTGTAGTTGTAGCAGACATGCAACTTGAACAGCGCCCAGTCACCATTTCAGAAGGCGGTTTGCTCCTTTGCTTGAATCCCGGGGAATGTTTGAGCTTAGCATTTGGGTACAGTGAGAAGTAACTATTCTCTGGGGTAGACTTAGGATACATTTTACATTTCACCAGTGACTCAAAGAGAAGCAAACAATAAAATCATACATTTTATAACAGGTTGCCTAATTTTAATTATATATGGTTTGAGGGCCCTGGTTGTTGATTTGGATTTGTCTAAACCGGGGAGGCCCATTTTATACCTGCTTGCCTAAGTCTACAAAAAGGTCTAGGGGTAGTTCAAATTCCCCAACGCAAGGAGTGGGATTGGGAACTGCTCAGCCGAGCTGAAGGTGCGGAAAAATTATCCCATGGTTGCACTTTGGCGCTTAACACTGGGGGTAACATGTGGTAGTATCTTCTATCTCTTTGCGAAGATGATGGTGGAGCAGATGAATTTGGGGTTAAAGGATGATGGTGGAGCAGATCTTTTTGGCTGAGGGTTGAACGTTGACAAACATTTTGACGCACATCAGTCCCTTGGCCTCAGGCTGATCCGCGCACGGCAGCTGCATCCATCGGAGTATCTCGACCGATTGGGACGCGACCAAATCGAAGGGTAAAGGCTTGCGACTACTGCCCGGGCCTTCAAAAGGGAGCTATTTGAGGGCCCTGGGGTGTTTCCAAGAGGGATTGGTCCGGGTTCAGGAGCGTTTGGGTGGTTGATTTTCCAGGGACTAGGATGATTAAGCAATAATGAAGCAAGAGTGACCTGATCTGTAAGGTTTGCGGGCCTAACTCGTGTCGCGTGTGTTTGCATGGCCGATTGGCTCAGTCAGGTCACAGGTCGCAGGGTCCCCTTGACAGGCAATGTTTGCAGGATGTAGGTTGAGTTCCCAGAATACTTGCATGCCCTATTGATCCCCGCCTCATACCCCGCAACATGCCGCTGGCAATGACACCGACAGTCGTGCTTTCTGCCGAGGATGGGCGCGGACAGCGAAGGCGGCGCCAGCTGTGCAGGGTGAGCTTTTTGTTTTGTCTGCAATCGGGCGATGCATTTTGCAGCAAGCAAATTTCTCGGAGTCAGGTTCAGGCAAGTTCTCAACACAGCGGATTTGTCCTTTAGAATTCGATCAGACCTCCAGGTTTGGGGGAGCCGTAGCCATTAGCTTCCGTTGCTGCAATGAATATGGTTTACTTTCCCTTGGTTTTAAAGGGATTTCTCTTACTGCTGGACACATTTTTTTCCATGGGCCTTAAGCAAATGGAAGTTCTCGGCTGACCATCCCTTGGGCCCACAACCTTAATGCGTCGATCAGGTCAGAGGGACGAGGCGGGGATTTTCCACGCAGCTTCCGCGTCGGAGATGTCCAATTTGAGGGAGCTCTGTTTTTCAGCAGAACCGTTGAACGGCGTCCCATAGCCAAAACCGGGTTCCAAACCCGTCCAAAGAACAATGTGTGTCGCATCCGGAAGGAACCTATTTGTGAAAAGGAGTCCCACAATTTGTGGTTGTTGCTGAAAGCGAAGCCAAAAATAAACTAGTCATTTCTACCGGCACCACCGACTGCTTTCTGGCAGCCCTTGCATGCTGTCTTGGACATGAGAAGAACATGCAGTCGCTGTCGGCTGCTGGTATAAAGGGCTTTCTGCCGGTATAAGCAGAGGGTCGGAGTCTCCTGTTTCTGCCTTTGTCGAAGTCATGGTTGCCTACGTCCCCAACTGATGAATAGTGAGGAGAGTCCACCATCCAGCAGTGCCTCAGGAGGCCTTGTTTTTTTTGTTGGTGAAGCGTGACCTTTGGGCCTTTGGTCGAGGTTTTGGATATCAGGAATCATATTGGGTGGGACCAATATAGTATGTTCCCTTGCGCAGGATAATCTACTTATTGCCTCAGATTTTCAGCAATTGAGTTGCCGTCTTTCTCATTCGACTGGCCGCCGAGAGCGCTCTCCGGGTGCTGGTACCCGCACCAGGTGGTTGGACCGTTTTGGTTGCCTCAAGGCACATGTTGAGGTCCCTCCGCCAATCATGGACTTCTTTTTTCTTCCTCTGTTCGTGGCTTCTCCAAGAAAATCGTCTTTCCACACTCGATCGGCAGCTTCCGTGATTGGAGGGGTTGATTCCAGCCATAGTTCTTCTCAAAACCAGCTGTTTCTCCTGGGTTTAGTGTTTTCTGAAAAGCTTCGGATCCCTGCAAAGAGTGAATGGAAGCTTCCCCTAGAACTGCTGGAGGGAGGGTACCAAGATTAGGGTGTTGGATGTTCTTTGAAGTCAGTTAGCACTTCTGGCCATCTCTTTCGAGGCACTGCGGCACTCACCCGCCTGTTTTTTTTTGTGCGACCTCCATGACAGAGCTTCCCTTTCTATGCTTGTGTTTTGCTCTAAGAGGGAATTGTTGTACACACCATACATTTGTCTTTGTATGGTCGCTATATCTATGATATTAATTATCTATGTGTATTTCCATATGTCTATCACACTTCATCCACGTATATTTTGTCGCTGTCCCTTTAAATCCACAAAAAAAAGTACCCTCAAAAACAAGTTCACCCATCAACTTTTCGAGGAGACTTCCAGTGAACCCATGGGCAATCTGTTTTTGGGGCTCGCCAGGTTGCGCTGGAAGACCTGCTATGCCTGCCACAAATCGGGAGCTGCGTGCAGAGCGATGCGGAGGCACGAGCCAAGATGCGGCGGGTGTTCAGACCCAGGCCCAAGGAAAAATGGGTCACTCAGCTTGCATTTGCTGAAGAATACGTTTGATTTTCCCCTGTTGGTTTTACAGGGAATCGATAGTATAATATGTATTTTTAAGTCAGATTAGTCACAATAAAAGCTCAGGTAATTGGAGGGCAAGGGACAATCACCTTTCCATAGCCATCCGTGTACCAGATTCAACTGCTTTTGTTGGATGCTTCCCATTTGTGCAGTGTCAACCTGTGTCCCTTGTTTGGCGGCTACCCCGGTCCCCAATAAGGGTTCCCGTTTTCTACCAGGGTCACTCAACAACTGGGGCCAATTTCTTTGAGGGTACCTTTTCTTGGTGGCTTTAAAGGGAAACCAACTGGAAAAGCACATTTCTGGGCCCCTCGAAAAGACACCCATTTTTCGCCGTGTAGAAGTTGTTAAGTGTCCTTTCCCTTGGGAAACCATGATGGCCCTCTTTCGGCAACTTGGGTTTCTCTAAAATGCTGAATTCACACAAATGGCTGGTTGGCTGGTTTCCCTCTTATCTGGGTGGGGCAAAATATGGTTTAAACACCACCTTTACAAGGGAAGAAACATCATAACCAGTGGTTCAAACATGTTTAAACCAATGGGTGGCCCCACCCTACCTCTTATGTTCGAAAGGAGAATCGCACGTAGCGTGCATCACATGCGACGCTGGCAGGAGGCAGAGGGCACGATACTCTTGCGCCACCCTCCGTGCCACGCGTTGCTCAAGGCCCAGAGTGAGAAGGCGAGCTGATTGCGAGTGATCCAGTGAGCCACAATTGGCACCTGCATGGTTGTTGTTGGGAAACATTGGACACATTTTTGCTTGTTGTGGCTTTTCGTGGTGGAAATCCAACCACTTGACTGCTGCAATTTAAGTTTTGCTCCCCTTCCAACGTCAACCAAGCCTGGGGGCTTACATTACTTTCTGTAGGTTTTAGAGGAAAAAGGATTCGTTAACTCCCTGTGTTCTTCTTGAATGCCTTGCCGCCTTGGCATTGCGTGACTCTTGCCGCACCCTAGCAACGCTTCAGCTTCTCTCCAGCTGCTCTTTTGGCACATGTCCACCGACATGAGGCTAGGGATTAGAAGGGTCTTGACACTTTGCTTGGTGGCTCCCAGCCATCCGGTTCCTTAGCTTTTAGCCTTTTAGTGTTTAGTGGTAGTTTCCATTTATCCCACTAAAAGTTAGTCACTTTTAGCAGGGGATCCGAAAACGGGCAGCCTAGTTTGATGATACCAGCGGACCAGGTGACGATCCTCCGTGTTTCGGACATTGTTTCTGTACGTGGACTGGCACGGCCTGTGGTACTACCTGCTTCAGAGATGCCTCCCGGCGCGAGGGCTGCAGTTTCCTCGTTTTTGCCTTGAGTTCGCGTTCCCATTGTTCCAGTTTCTGAAGCAGGGTCATTTGGGTATGGGTCACAGATCATCCAGGGCACCGCAAATGTTCGTCCTTTCTTCGAAAGTTTCCAGGGCAAATTCCATTTTGGGGGTTAACCCTATTTTTGACCCACAACCGCTTGCGCAGATGGGAAGACCAAGTTCAGGTGCATACCTACTTCGAGCCAAAGGCTGCCCGAGGCAGGTGCACTGGTGCGCGGCGTTGTGACACCTGGCGACAAAGCATGGGTGGCTCCTCCTTTTCTAGGAATGGGACCCCCAAAATGGCTGGGTGTTCCTTTTAGTTGTCCCTGAAGCCTCAAACTACCATAAGTTTGGGGCACTACCCCCCCAAAAGAGAGGGTAGTTTGAGGGTTTAGGTCCTCTAAACGCACTAAACATTGGGTACCTTCCAAAAAGAGAACATACCGGAATGCTTCCTCTTCGATTGGGTTTGACTTTTTGGAGATTGTTCGGCTATGTGTTGCAGATCCCGCCGGTTCGGAAGGTTCGGATTCCTTTTTTGGGCACACCGTCGCTTTGGGCTTTTATAGTTCTGCTCACTGGGGGCAGCTCATTCGGTTTTGAACCCTAACCATGGTTGTTGTTGGGAAACATTGGACACATTTTTGCAAATTGTGGTTTCGTGGTGGAAATCCAACCACTTGAGTGCTCAAATTTGAGAATTTTTGCTCCCCTAACCCTCCCCGCCAAGCAAGTCAGTCGTGCTTGACCTGGACCTAACGCTGGCCTTCCGACGGTCTGGGAAAAAATGGGGATCTATTTGAGCCCGGATTCCACAGGCCTCCCGTTTCTTGGTCAAGGCTTGACCCGCGAGAGGGGGAAACACAATTTTCCGCGCATTTGGAGTGCGTCCACACATGCACGCATCCGGATGGTTCGGTGGGACATATGGGCTGACTTCTGCAAAAAAGAGGCTGATGGCGATTGCCATGGATGGAAACGCAGATCAAGCGGCAACTGGTTGCTCTTTTCAGTTGACCTTTATGCTTTAAAGCTTTGGTTTTTCTTTTGACTTCGAGCTCTGTTCGGACAAGTGTGCTTGTTCCGAATGTTACTAGAAAACGGATCAACTGGCCGGGGAGTTTGAAAACCGTGGTGAAGCTGCGTGCTCAGGACTGGATTCTCATGCCTGCAGCTGCCTGACGGCACCTTCTCGAATGGGCTGCGCGGACGGCATTGGGAAAGCTGGACTGCAGCGGGTGCAAAGCTGACCATCTCAGCTTCCCTCTGATTGGTAGTTTGGTGGTTTGGTTAGGGATGGTTTCTCATTTACCCTCTACAAGACCCAGAGGTTCAAATCCCCAAACGACCAATCAGATCCAAACAGCCCTGAAGGGATACCTCAACATTTGCACTGCAATCGCGGGGCCTAGGAGACAGCTCCCAAGGCCCAGGGAGACAGAATCGTTCCAGTTTCAACATGGGGATGCATTTCCTTCTGGGGGACCTTTTTGTGACCCACGTGAAAGTGAAACAGAAAGGTGAGAACAGGGGGAACTCAGGTTGCAGCTTGGGTGTGTCTTGTTTTTTTTTCATGTTTTTTTCACTGGGTGGATTAAAAGAGAAACTATACGCGGAAACCATCCATTTGGGGCTTCCCACGTCGCAGGAGACAACCTCAAGGCTACTGGACTATTCCGTTGCAAACCAAATCAATAGACTCTAGCGGGACTCCAACGATTTGCTAGGCTTGACTTTGGAATTCGGAGAAAGTTGCCTCAAAATCTCGGGGTTCATTCCCCATTCTTTTCAGCCATTTTTTTTTACCTGCCATTTCCCAGGGTTTTTGGTGGTTTTCTAGGAAGATTCGGATCCCTGGAAAGAATGGAAATGGAAGTTACCCCTAGATCAACATCTGGAGGCAGATTGCCAGGAGCTCAATAGGACACTTCGAGCTTTGGCGCATGCCCAAATTTGCCGGCTGACGGGTCGTCACGAAGGCAACTCGCCAACTCTTCTGGAAATGTTTCCTGAGTTTTAGATCCCGCTCCCTTCAAGGAACCTTCACCTTTGTTTCCAGAATAGATCCATTCGGAATCAGGTGTCCTTTCTTGGTCTCATTCCTGATTTAGCCGCGGCCGTTGCAGCCGCACGAGCCAAGCGCGAATCGAGCTTGATCAAAATACAAGTATTGGGTCTTGTTGTTTGGGCAATTTCAATATCAAGGCGGACAAAGACAAGATCAAGGATTGCAGTTGAAGGTCTAACTGGGTCGTTTTGGCGAATTCTCTCAGTCGACATGCTTCGGAAGCATCTCGGTGGACTTTGCCTTGATTTGCTGACTGACATGCAAACCATACTGTGGATGGTTGCGAAATCCATTTCGCACCACCGTTGAGAAACCCTATATGATTCCCCAACGTAAACACCAACCGCGGTTATGGTTTCAACCATGGTTTCTTTGGTGGTGCGAAATTGATTTCGCCCATCCACAGAACCACGACCACACGAAACTCTCCAAAGATCCATGGGTAACTAGTGAAGGTTAAGGGACAGTCCCTTTCAACAACACATGCGGATATCCGCGTTGCTAGCTGGTTACATGGTTTTGGGTTCCCCATGCTCCTCTCCCAGGTTCCATTCGGACGGACGGCACTTGAGGTTTTGGACCACGTCGGGGGCTGGTTGGAACTTCAAAGTCACAAGTTGGTATCACGAATGTTCGATTCATTTTCCACGCGGCGAAAGCACATAGAATAGGAAGCCCCTAGAATAGGAAGCCCCTGCCCTTCACAGGCCTTCTGCTCCTTTCATGGTTGTTGTTGGGAAACATTTGACACATTTTTGCCTATTGTGGTTTTGGTTGAAATCCAATTACTTAACTGCTAAAATATATTGTTTTGCTCCCCAAACCCAACGTCAAGCGAGGAATAGGAAGCCCCTGCCCCCTTTCACAGGCCTTCTGCCCCTTTCGGAGACCTTCACAAGTACGGCCGGAAGGGGACGATTCCTATTTGGGTCAAGATTAGTCAAGAGGATTGGGTACCCTCCCTTCCACGAACAGACCCGGAAGTTCATTCCTCTTATTGGGACCCCCTGTGAGGTGCCATGTTCGTCGGAGTGAGGGTACCTACTGTGGATGGACCAAATCCTGCACCACCTAAGAACCCTGGCATGATGATTACCCTGCAAATACCCACCAACGTTCTGGTTTCCATGGCTTCTTAGGTGGTGCGAAATGGATTTGGTCCATCCACAGTCGGTACCCTCACTCCGACGTTGCGATGGCACCTTGCTACTGTTCATACCCCTCTCCCAAAAGGGGTATACACCCCTTATCATGGTTGTTGTTGGGAAACATTTTACATTGTTGCTCATTGTGGTTTAGTGGGAATCCAACCACTTAAGTGCTAAACAATATGTTTTTGCTGCCCAAACCCAACGTCAACCAAGTTATAACGTGGGTAAACCACGGGGTTCCAAGGGCTATGAACAATGCACTTCCACCCTTGGGCTTGAGGGTAGCTATCTTTGACCATTTGGAGCACCGAGCTTGAGGCTCCTGATCGCCCTGCGCGAAGGCCAAGGCTTCTGGCCCACGGAGTCCCACTGGCCGCTAGGCGCCTTGGATACCGAAGACGGGAAGACCTAAACCATGGGTCTTCCGCTCCGCAAAACCTGGGCTAGAGAGAGATAAGCACAGGTCCAAGTTCAGCTCACTTGCCCAAACCATGGTTGTTGTTGGGAAACATTGCAATCATTTTTGCTTATTTGGGTTGAGTGGTTGAAATCGAACCACTTGAGTGCTATGTTTTCTATTTTTTTGCTCCCCAAACCCAACGTCAACCAGTGCCCTGAATCGACCTGACATTTGAAGATGCCACAAGGTGGGAACATCCCAGCCATCCGCTCCAACTTAGCTTTTTAGATCTGTTTAGCTGTTGTTTGTTTGTTTTTCCGGCTCCACTTAGCCTTTTAGAGCTTTTTAGTTGGCTTAGTGCTTGGGTGTCCGAATTTAGCCCACCAACAGTTATTCACTTTTAGCAGGGGATCCGAAAATGGACAGCCCGGATACGGGTTTGTGTTTTTGGGTGGAGCCCCTTTCTGGTTGTTTAACAAGAAATCAACAAGGAAATCGTTGCCTGATCTACATGGATTGGGTGGCGTCCAGCTATTTTTTGAGGTAGTAACACCCATCAGAGACTGGACAGGGGCAAGCACAGGTACTGGCAGTCAATGAAACCACAGCTAACCGGCCAGAACCCACGGGACAGAACCCTGGATGTGTTGTTCAACATCCATCCGCAAGATCCTTGTGGATGGTCGTGGTTTCCCTTGTTGTAGTGTCTCACGGATTCGGATGAGGGTGTCCCGCCCAATTGGCAGCCTGTCTTTGAGCCTCGTGTTTATGCCAGCAATAGACACGAGCGAAGACTGCCTTCATCTTGGCCTTGATTGGTTTGGATTGGACCGGGCTTGAACCCGGATGCAAGCCCACCACCTGAAAAACCACCACCGAACTGAAGCTGATTCCTGGGGTTGAGATAAGCCCACGAGGCCAGCCTTGAGGCTCCAAAGTTCACATGGTCAGGGCTCCGTACCGCAGAGGCGGCTCGTCCTTCTGGTTGCAGTACCCCAACAAAATGGCGCCTTTCGGTGTTCCTTCTGGTGTCCCTCTACCAAAAAATGTACCTAGACCCTCAAGCTGGCCTTAAGAAAGGGAATCCACCGCGTCATTTTGGGGCGATGAGCCATTTTTCGGGGTATTGTGCAGGTCCAGGAACCCTCTAAACGAAGGAATACTTCAGAGACGTGGTGTTTTGAGGCAACGAAGCCGTATCATCCCCTTGATGCTTTTTTTGACCCCGAGGAATGAGTTGCAAGCTGACCGTCCAAGACTTTGTGACGGAGAAGGGTCGGGTCCTTGCGCTGCTCTCTGGCGATGAACAGCGGAAGATCAAGGCGAGGGCGTGTCTCATCATGGTTGTTGTTGGGAAACATTTTACATTTTTGCTTATTGTGGTGTAGTGGGAAATCCCGACTTGAGTGCTAAAATTTAAATTGTTGCTCCCCTTCCAACGTCAACCAAGTCATAGACGAGGCACCCAAAGCTGGTCAGTTTGCTTTCGGTATCTCAAAAGCAATGCGCAGTGGACTCCTAAGTTTGAGACAGCTCCAATATACCTGTAAGGGGGGAAATCATGGGGTGGGGTGCCTTGACAACCAGATCAAGTCTTGAAGGGATAACTGTGTGAGTATATCTAGCTCCACAGATTAGGCAGTCCTACTTGAGTTTCATTGGGATTGTAGAGCCTGCAGAAAGCTTCATGACAGTATTGGGGAACCGAACATGAGTTCTGGTTGCTGACATGAGTTCTGGCGCAAGGACAGGATTTGGCTTTAGAAGTTTGAAGCTCTCAAGGGAGAAAAACTCCTGGAATCCCCCCCGAGTAGCTTCAGGTAACCGTTAATTCTAAGGGTTGATTTGCCATTCTTTTCAACTATCGTTCTTTTCAAATTCCGGCCGTTTCCCTGGGTTTGCGGAGGTTTCCTAGAAAGAAGGATCCCTTGGAAATAATGGGGAAGGTAGCACTAGATGAATTGGTGATTTGGGGGCTTGAACCTCTGGCTCCTGCAGAGGGTAAATCAGGAACCACCGCCTAGCCACACCTCCGCCGATCGAAGCAACCAACGAGATGTGCAGGGGCAATTTGAGACATGGCCAGCCAATGTTCAACCACTCGAAACCTTTCCCGTCCATTGCGGGCAACGCATATTTTGGTTCTCCTACAATGAGGACTATTGTTTTCTGGTCCCCATTGGAGGGCGCGGTTTCCTCGCAAGATAGCATGATTTCTGATCGCCGAACTGGCCCTCCCAAGTTGGTTTAAAGGTAAGCTTGCAAGGTTTCTGACTCCAGCCAAAACCAAGCCATTCGAATCAAACTGCGCTGTTCAAAATGGATGGCCAATGATGCTTCAGGGTTGCTCCCAACCTGACAAAGCCACCAGGGCAGAGTTTTGGTGCGTCTTTTTTAGGTCGAATTCCGAAATGGTGGCGTTTCCTTCGTTGCCCTTTAAGATCCACGAAAAGGGAGGTACTGGGGCGCCGTCGGAAAAGAATAACCCACATTGGTGCTGGGGGTTCAACACCACTTGGCTTAGGTGTATGGGTAACCAGTAGGAACATGTTGCTGGTCACATGCCATAGAGGAAACTGGGCTGGGAACTGGGTGTTTTTGCAATTGTTGCGGTCTCCAAAACGGATGGTGTCTCATGCCTATCGGGTGGTGGTCATACAGGTAAGGCCCGTAGAAGAAAACAAACTCCAGTGCCCTGGTAGAACCGCCGATTTTCGGCTGGCGCAGGTTGGCCACTTCTACTCGGGCCGACTCGTTCGGCCCAAAGCCGGGAATCTGTGGCTCGTGGACGTCGGAGAATCCAGGCAACAGCTTCGGGGCTTCGGGGCTTGGATCGAGCCTGTGGGTCAAAACCAATGGGATCCCATTTTGGGGTAGGTGAATTCACCACCTTTTTTTGGTCCCTATTTTAGTGGTTGCATTAAATCGAATGTTCACTGGGTGTAGGATTTGGGTTTTGACCCATGGCCACATGGACCCAGGGAAAAGAGACGGATCATGGCACAGGCATCAGGGCTCCTGAAAAGATCTCCATTTTGCCTATTTGAAACATGTGGTTTTTTCAACACCAAACAAAAAGGGGCACCACCACTTACAAGTTGCAATGTTCAGGTGTATAACGCATCCGGATCGCATTTGTTCAACTTTGGATGAGTCACTCGGATGTTGGGGAAGACACCAGATGAATCAGAGGTATTCCCTCAGTTGCAGTGGATTGGACCCACATGAGGGATGGTCCCAGCCCAAACTCCTGCGGGCCGGTATCTTCCATGGCGTTTTCAGTACTAGTGTCAAGGGGGCATTTAAAAACATACCTAAAGCACCTAGGGGGGAGTTTGATACCAGTTTTTCTCGTGCGTGCCTCTCGTATAATTCGCGAAGCCGAAGCGGATGGGTGCGGATGGGTGCGGATGGGTGCGGAGGCGTGGTGCATAAGCTGTGAGCAATCGACGGTTTTCAAGGCAAGCAGCTCCTTTCCTCGACTCGCAAAACCGGGGAAAAAAGGGCGGGGAAGGAAAAAAGGAAACGGGCGTCCGTCGGTTTTCACCGTCTCGGTGCCCTAGGATCGTGCCCTTTCTCTCCCCTTTTTTGGGGGAGTGTTCCCCTACTAAAATCGACTACAGAAAAAAGAAACGGCACCCTTGTTCTAGCCTCTCTACTGAAGACCCTAGCTGTGAGGCCTGCGGTGATCAACCTGCCGGAGGATCGACCTGGACAAGAAGTGCTCGTGCAGGGCTGAGCCTTTAAGCGTGTTTGGTTGGAAATTGGGGGCCATAAATTTCCGTGCAACTCATGTTGACCCCAGATTCGGGGGGTGGGGGGTGGGGGGATATGTTGACCCCAGATGAATCAACCCCTGTAAACACAAATATATGGGGGGGGGGGGGTGTTCTTGTGCAAAAGTGGTCTGATTCCCCACTAGAACCGGAACACCCAGACACCCAACTGGGGTTGATTAATGTGGGGTTAACATTAATATCAACTATCAGGTGTTTGGTAATCCGGATCTAAAGCTGGGGAGTCTCGGAGACCTCCTCAATTTCTATCAACAAAACGGGCTTGCTGGTGCGATGGGCCGGGAATTGCCTCTTTGGGTGTTGGGAATGAATTGCAAGGGTGTTCCCTCAGAGGAAACCATAAGTGATGGGATATTCCCTCATTCCTTGCTGACCACCAGCTAGTCAATGGTGAAAGCCCTTCTTGGGGTTTTCATTTTCCTAGCAAGTACACACGGGTCTAAGTCCGGCCAAAATCTGTCGGGATTCCATTTTGACATATGGGACTTGGTCACAGAACGTGGCAATCCCAAGAACTGTGGAAGACCTCAAGAAGAACATTGGTAAAGAAGAGGCATTCTGTTTACCCTCCGGAAAACACGGAAGGCACCTTTGCCGGTGTGCAATTCTGTCTTTGGCGCCAGACTCTGGGAAGAACTTTGCTCCTGAGTTGGTTTGGTGCCAAAAATACTTAAAGGCTTTTCTGGAAATCAAAGGATGGCCTGGGGCCTTTCAGTGTGGGTGCCAAGTTAGAAGTCGCCATCGCTTGCTCGAGTAACACGTGACTGAGCAAATGGGTGTAGCAAGCTCACCCATGTAGGTCCCTTTCTTGAGATTCGGCAGATTTCCGGTTGAATCATTGAGATTTGTGTGTCAGAGCTACAGACCCCCGTTGATGCGACCGCTTCTTTTTTTGTTCCTTCTTTTTGGTACAAAAAAGAAGTGTCAGCGCTACAGCCCCCCGTTGATGCGACCATGTTTCTTTCTCAAAACAAAAAACACTTGTACACGAATGGGTTCCGAGATCTGCGCCACATCCTCCCATTTTCTTTGAAGTTCGCAGTCAAGGTGCGGCTGATGGGCTTTGACATGGATAAGCCGATGCTTGGCGTGATCAGAAGGGAGGCTCCTGATAGGTGAATGAACGTTCAAACGTAAAACTATGTCCCCCAGCTAGGTGCCAATTTTTCCCGTTTCTTTTTTGGTTCGGAGGGTTCCACTAAACTAGACTACAGAACCAAGTTGGTACCCTTATTCTAACCTCTCTACTGGAGGACCTAGTTTACGCATTCATCTGTCAAATGATAGCGGGGACTCCCAGAATCCCGTCCCAAAATGATAGGAGGGGTGCTTACTGCAAGGGTTATTGAGACCTGTAGCAGCTGCTTCTTGGGAGCGGTCTCAAAACCGGGACTTAAGGGAATTGAAGTTGATTTGTCATGCACGTTTCTTTTTTAAGGTGACCCTCCAAAATGGCGGGGGTTTCCCGGCGGCGTCCTTGAACAAAAACATCCAAACAGGGGGTAGGCAAGTCCATAAAAGACGAGCAACATGTTGATTTCCCAGAGGCTCCCTGCACAGAAAGCGGCTAAGGGCGTACGTGCGCCCACTGGTGGAAGAGGAGCGTGGAGACATCGGCGTGTGTTCTGGGTTGCCCAGTGGCGCCCTTGTTTCCTTTTTTTCACTTTTTTTGGGGGAAGGGTTCCGATTCCTTGAACTCAACCAACCAGAAAAGGATGCCCTTTTGGTGGGGCGGCATGCCCCACTCGCCTGCGAATCCGATCGTGGATCCGCCTCGTGTCAAAAGGATGCCCTTTTTCCCGATGGAAATCCACTGGGCATCTGAGTCTCGGTTCCAAGAGTGAAGATGGGACACGAGAGAGAGATTGGTGAGTTGTTTGGAATGCGATAGGAAAGAGATCATCGAAGCCGGTTCACCTAGCTCCTTGTCCCTTGGGCGACTGGAAGAGATAGGATCCGAGAGATCCACAGAGCCATTCCTTTCCTTGCCACACGACGTTCTACGTGGGGCTACTTGGCAGTGAAGACAGGAAGGGCATGGTGAGATATGAGTCGCCAAAGGCAACGTAATAAATTGGAATGCCAGCCCTATCTTGTTTATGCCCAGGGATTTGCGTCTTAATGGAGCCACACGCCCGAAATCGTTCAGATTCTTTCGAGCCACAAAGCAAAAGGCATGCAAAAGGCATAAATGAGCCACGCTCTCAAAAGCCCGGGTAAGTGAAGGTTAATGAGTTAATTCCCTTGCCATAAACGAGTGCACACGCCCTGCCTTTTTATGGTTCTTTATAACCTTGGGGATCGACCATCTCAGTACCGATCGGTTTTCAAATGCGGCGGACAAGAGAAAACCTTCGGATTTGCCTTACAGGAGTTGGGCATGAGCCTCGAGCAACTGCGCGAGGCACGCGAGAGTCGGGATTTCGACTGGGGAGTTGGGTCTTTCCGGGCCTTTTCGTTCACCCTCCCACCAACTCACGTGGAACCTGACGTGTGGGACCCGGTCACTTTAAAAGCAAATGGTCCACACACCCCCCTTTAACGTCGAACGGTTCCATGTATAAATTGGTGGGAGGGTACCTAAGGCCTTGAAACAGCGGCCGGTCGCTCAGGTCCAAAGACTTTCTCCCGAGTGAACCTTCCCCCCTCCCCAATTCAAAAGCAACTCGGGGGGGGTTGACATTTTTGTTGGGGTCCACAGTCGGGCCAGAACTCGGTTCGGACTGCGTGCTTGAGTCTCGGCATCAAACTGGAAAGGAACCCTTTGACATGGTTGTTGTTGGGAAACAGTTTACATGTTTGCTTATTGTAGTTTAGTGCTGGAAATCCCCACTTAAGTGCTAAGAATTAAGTTTTGCTCCCCTTCCAACGTCAACTAAGCGCTCAGAATGCAACTTTTCAGCACCTTAAGAAGGGAGCCCAATGGAGAAGGGGGTGGGGAGTTGAGTAGTTGACAGTCCCAGGCTTCCTTGGGGTTCCTTAGCATTCCCTAAGGGTTTTCCGGGAATCCCCCACCAACAACCCAACCTCCCCCCCCAACCCCCCCCCCCTCCATACCAACTTCCATTTGCTCAAGCACATGTTTATTTCCCCCTGTTGGTTTAACAGGAATCCATCACTCGATTTGTTTCATTTTATATTTTCCGGGTTTTAAAAGTACTCCATCACTACGAAAACCAAATATCTTCTCACTTTTTTCCACCCCACACTGGGGAGGTCCCTTAAATCTGGGGGGGGCCCTTAAAATGGGGGGGATTTTTCCGCCGATGTCCGGCAGCTCTCCTTATCCAGCCACTCCGCCCACTCCACCCACTCCACTCGGCCCACGTGGAATGGGAGGCCCAGCGGCTGGCCTCGCCGCTGCCGCGGGTGGGCTTCGAGGTCTCCGCGCGCTGCCTGGGCCGCGCGGGGCAGGCGGCCTACGCCCCCCGCAAGGCGAGAGGGGCGGGGGCGGGTGGGGCGGGGTGGGTGGGGTGGGGGAGGACCCGGGCTAGGTGCCAACTTTGAGCGTTTCTTTTTTGGTTGGGAGGGTTTCAGCTGGGTGTCAACCTTCTCGCCCACTTGTTTTTGGGGTTTTGGGTTCCCCTAAAACAGACTAAAGAAAGTTGGTACCCTGATTCGAACCTCTCTACTGGAGGAGCTAGCGGGGATCCGGACCAGGGGGTCCATCCCTAGGTTCGGCTGTTCGAGTTGTTTTCGGGCTGGAAAGTCGAAAAAGAGGCCAATTATCCACCGGATGTGTCTTGCATCTTTAGTTTTGGCCGGTCGAGTTGTTTTTTCGGGCTGGACAGTTAAAAAGAGCCAACTGCCCGAGGCAACAATATTTCTGTGCATCGCACCGTGAAATGAAGCCATGGTAAACCAAAACGCTTGTTGGTATTTGCCAGGGGAATCGAATCCGAAACCCGGGTTTCTTAGGTGGTGCGAAGTGGATTTTGTCCATCCACAGTATCCTCACCCTGTCGGTCTGCAATGGGATAACCCTCAAATGGGTTGCGTTGGTTAAATGGAACTTCAAGGACTAAAACCCGGGGTCCATATTCTGGTGGCTGAAATTCTGACCCATACCCACACCCTGAATTCTTAGTGGCAAATACAAGCTGTTTGGGCCAGACCAATTCACTCGGGAAGTGAGTATCTGAGCAAACTCCAGGCAAGTCTCCAGGAAGTTATCCAAATACCCACGAAATAATCCGGTTGATTCTCGTGGAGTGTATCTCTTAGATTACAAGAAAGATTACAACCGGGTAACTGGGGTTGGGTAGTTGCCTGAACAAATGGGGCAGGGGTCCCTATAAACCCGCCTTTTTCCAAGGGATGTTTGCACAATGGAAGTTGTTTCCACGGTTTAACAGGTTTTCCTATGCATAGATTGCCCTTGTTAATAGAAGTCGTTTCCACGGTTTATCAGGTCTTCATATATGCATAGATTACCCTTGTTGTTGTTGGTTTCAAGGGACACCAAAAGGACAAACCCTGTTTTGGAGATCCCCCCCATTCTGAGACAACCCCACAGGTTCCCGGTTTGTGACTTGAAACATCCACCAGTTTGGTCTTTTGCCTGAAGGTAGTGATGTTCAAAGGGGAACTGTTTTGGGTGCCCTGCATGTTCAACTCCAGCCGAGCCACTTTTGGTGGCCATGTGGACGGGGCCATCGCATGCATGCAGTGGACCCCAAAGTTTCCGTCAAAAAACCGACCCACGACTTGCATCGAACAACCGGAGAATGGCGACCGGAGAAACTGGGGATGGCGTCCTTACCGCGGGATCTACAGTTTAGCATCCAAAGTGGGCGCGGGAACCTTTGACCAAAGGGCAGACAAAAGGGATGTGGGGTGGCGAATTTGCGCGGATCTCGGCTGCTTATGTTTCTCTTTGTTGACACATTTGGCAAGGATCAGATTTGGGACACCCTTCCGGCAAGATGTGCTGCAATAACTTTCGGTGGGCATAGTAGTCGTGGTGGTGGTGGTGGCGGAGGTGGTGGCGGTGGTAGTGGTGGTGGTGTGTTCACAGAGACACACAAAGAGACACACAAACACACACACGGAGGCACACGCAGAGACACTCACAGAGACACCCAGGACACCGGGACATACACACATGGAGACACACAGACAGGGGGACACAAAGAGACACACGCACACACCCAGCGACACAGAGAAAGAGGCACACAGACACACAGAGGAAAAGGAGAAACACAAATTGAATGGCGCAGAGGCACACTTCGGCATAGCAGATACAGAGACACACAAGCACTCTCACACCCACACCCACACAGACAGACAGACTTTGAATTTGTTGGACTTGCAGGTTGAGCCGCAACTCCTGGAGGCAGTTTTAGCGCAAGTCGAGGAGGACGACCTCATTGCCGGACTCCCAGCAGAGTTTTTTTCGCCGTTTTTCGAGCCGTGCTTGGTCAGTGATTTTTCCGGGGTCTCAACTTGTCAAACCCCCTCATTAAGAGAATTGACCCATTTTTCGATGACAATCCTTTGGTAGCATGGTGCCATTGTCTTGACAATGGTCTGAACCCCCGGCAAGAAAATTTGAGGGCCCTGGGGTGTCACAAATCAACCCCTCCTGGCAGGTTCCAGCGTCTGGATGAACTTACGGCTGACCAAAATCAGTTTCGTCCCTTTTTGATACTTAGTTGGCTGACCAAAATATTATGTTGTTTTTTTCCCGGTACTGTTAATATAGTGATCATGTTGTGATCAAGTGTGTAGCGTTGTCCTCGCATTTGAACCTCCTGGCCATGACAAACCCACACCCTTTGCCCCCAATTCGCTGAGCTCGCAAGAAGTCTGTGACCGTGGTTGTCAACACCAATGGGATCTCATTTTGGGTGGGATTGGTGAATTCACCACCCATTTTAGAACCTATTTTTAGGATTGGGATGTTCACTGGGGGTACGATTTGGATTTTGACCCATGGCCATGTATCCCCTTGCACCTCGGCCTTTCCAACGTGTGAACGAGCATGGACGTGTCCTTTCTTCGAGGGTGATTGCCAGACTTTGAGCGTTTTGCTCCTACTGGACTCGCACATACTCGCACTTCCTTCTATTGGTTCAGACGCATGATGTGTTTACACAAGACTCTAGCCGTCTTTCACAGGAAAGGAGATGCAGAAAGGGCGGTTCTGTTCAACTGGCCCTTCGCCGGTTGCATTCCGAATTTACCTATGTCCTTTTGTCAGGCAACCTGGACCCTCCTACCCTTAAAAATGGGAAACCACCCCTCATTTTGGGTTGCTATACCCCATTCTTGAGGGTTTGATTATGTACCACCAGGTTGGAGCGCCAAGAGAGCCGAATTTTTTGGGGGGATTCGGCCGCGGCCTTTCGCCTCGGCGGCTTCGGCGGCTTGAGGTGGAGCTTGAAGCGATCCCGTGCCTGGGCGTGGTGGGCGCGGCGAACTGCTTCAATGCGCCGGACCGGGTCCGACTTTTGCTTCAACGCGTTGGCTATCCTTTAGCATTCGATCAGCGGATTTTGGGTGAATTGTTGGTCCCGTCTCTCGGCGCGGTCGCATTTTGGACCCCCAGGTTTAGGGGAGTCTTGGATGGAAAAGACGCCGTGGCCATGAAAGCTTCCGTGTTGGTTTTCTATCACTGGACATATTTTTTTCCAGGGGGCCTAAGCAAATGTTCCTGGACTTCCTGAGTTCCTGGACTTTACACTTTTTGAGGAGACCCCTTGAGTGGGAAGCAAACCGTTTGGACTTTTTCGGGCCATCCACCCAAGTGAGGTGTTTGTTGGTTTTACAGGGACACCAAAGGAAAGCGATGTTATGTTGTTTTTGTTGTTGTTGTTTTTGTTGGGGTGAAGCCCGGTTTTGGTTGGCTTTAAAGGGAAACCACAAGGAACACTGAAATCCCATTTTGAAGGTCCAACCTGAAAAAAGACACACACACAGAGTTGTGTTCCCTTTGCATCAAGATTGGAAAAGCTTGGACCTCCAAAGATGCTCCCAGGAAGTCCCGACAGACTTTGACTTTGGCTTCTCTGTTTCGGTCCTGCTTTTTGGAGACTGTTATTATCTATTTCTGTGTTGACCCGCAGCCTGCCTTTTCGCCCTATAAACCAAACATTATTGTCAATGTTATGGAAGCAAAACTTCGAAGACATGACAATGCGTGAACACATGTCATACATGCAGTGCTTTGCTGACAGAAACACAGCTTTTTGGGATACAGCATCAGTGTTGTGAAGGAGCAACGCTCTCAGACAAGAACCGAACCGTTGTTCAACGTCACGATTTTAGAGCACCGTTGCACAGCCATTGGTAGATTGTGAGCAAAGTACCGTTTGTTGGATAGGAGAAACAAGCAGAGATTGCTTCCTCGACCATTTCTTATTTTTGAGTAGCTGGCCTTCCTGTCTTCTTGGGTTAGCTGGCTGGCCCAGAAAATGGAGCAGTTGTTTTCAGTACGTGAATAAGTTGCAGGTGTACTATCAAAATGGCACCCAGAGTCGGCAGAGCAGTTGTATCATGAGGCTTGAAGGTGTTGGTGTCGCTGTCGTGGGTACAACCGTCCTGAAGCGAGTTCTTGGAATGGGTTGGATTTCTCTCAGGGGACTGGGGCGTCCAAAAACATGTCTCTCGCATTCCCAGCGTTCCTCATAAGAATGGCCTTGCGGCCCAATTTGGAAGAAACTCCACGGTCAGCAATGATTCATTGTTACAACTTGACCATCCCCAGTGATTCCATTCCCTATGTGGTAACCAAGGGCCCAATGCAATTAGCTCAGTTGGTCAGTGGCACCCTTTTTCCCCTTTTTTTTGTGGCCCCGCTAAAAATGGTGTTCCCCAAAAAGGGTCCTTTTTTTTGCCAGGGTCACTGAACAACTGAGTTAGGCATAAACAGAACCAAGAAAAACCCGGATGTCCGGCATCGGGTGGATCTGTTTGACTCCAGGACTTGCTGCTCGCCGGCCTTTGCCTCAGGTTTCAATCGCCTGGGAGAGTTGCCGGAAGGAGGGTGTGGTACCACGGTGTTACTTACGAAGAAACGTACCAGGTCCAGACATGGTACGGATCGATAGATTGATGCTATTGGTGGTGTGATTCTATGGCCCACTTTCTTGATTTTATGATGGATTGGCTTACTCTTTCTTGATTCTATGGGTGGTGCATGGCCGTTCTTAGTTGGAGTGATTTGTCTGGTTCGATCCGTTGACCGACGAGACCCTAAGCTGCTAGACAGTTACATGTAACCTTGTTTATACGGGCAACTTCTTCGAACTTTGTGTGTCCAACGCAAGGAAGTTTGAGGCAACAGGTCTGTGATGCCCGTTTTGGGGCGGTGCCAAAAGGGAAGCTTGAAGGAAAGCCCAAGAGCTTTGTTTTTTTTTGGGGGGGTCCATCCTTTGACAGCCACCCCCCCTTTGGTGGGTGGTTTTGGACATGGGAAGACACCATGACTTGACGGGACATCTAGTGCAACCAGTGCTTCCAGTGACCTGAGGCAACCAGGGGAACCATCATATGAAACCAAGAGGCAACCGTCTTTTTTGACACTTACAGTCTGTCAGAATCCCGCTGTGAGAGTGCCATGCAGTGTGCGCTTCTGAAAGTCACCATCTTTTGGCAGACAGCTCGAGCAGCGAGACCAATGTTGATCCCACATGCCATTTGAGGCCTGTCTCCAGGAAGCCATTTGAGGCTGAGAGCCGTTAAAACATGGTGCTTCCCATGTTTCCCCCGTGGTTTCCCATGATCTTGAAGCCCAACCGAAGAAAAGCACCCAGTGTTCCACCTTTCCGACTTCGACTTCCGCGCGAACAGAACGCGGGAGGCTCGGTGATTCCGAACTTCCGTACCGTGAACATCTATGGCATCGGCGCTTTGGCCGCTGCTTAGACGCGGCGTCGCGGGAGTTTCTTCGACGGGCTCTTGTTTCGGAGAGCTGAGCAAACAAAAACCCGGGCCGAGGAGCCCTCCAATGCACACTACCCCCTCAACATGGTTGTTGTTGGGAAACATTTGAAACATTTTTGCTTGTTGTGGTTTAGTGGTTGAAATCCAACCACTTAAGTGCTAAAAAGCAATTTTAATGATCCCCTTCCAACGTCAACCAAGTCTACCCCCTCAAGGGGCTCCTGACAACAACCTGTTTTGAGGGCCGAAAAACAATCGGGACCCCTGGGGGAGGTCATCTATCAGCACGGGAGTTGATGTTTGTGTTTGCTGGGGGTTCTGTGTTTCATTCCAGAGCTTCCAGGGAGGTTGTTTGGCCCCGACAAGTTTTTCTCCCTCCTGGCAATGGCTGTTTTACCATATCGCACAGCTTGTGTTAGCTACTTTTCGTTGTCCCTCCACACCAGTACATGGGATCAAGCAAGCAAGCAAGCAGGCAAGCAGGCAAGCAAGCAGGCAAGCAAGCAGGCAAGCAGGCAAGCAGGCAAGCAGGCAAGCAGGCACGCAGGCACGCAGGCACGCAGGCAAGCAGGCAAGCAGGCAAGCAGGCATGCTTGCAAGCACGCAAGCAAGCTGTTCATGGTCGAATTCTGATTGCAGAGGCTGGCTCACCAGTTTCCTTCAAAAACCGCCTAGACCTCCTTGCAGTTCCTTTTGAGTACCGAGGTCTTGGCAGCTACGTGCAGCTCGGCCTACCACGAAGAGACCTGAGCTCCGTGTCCCAAGGCGACGTTCTCTCAGGCGCGCCGGGCGCTTCTCGTCCCGCTTTCCCCGGTAGCACAGGGGCGGGAGGCGACCGGAAACTTCCATTTGCTGAAATGAAGATGTGTGATTTTCCCGTTTTGGTTTTCAAGGGAACCGATTTCACTACTGGAAATATGTGTCTCTTTTTTTTTCCAGGGGCCTTAAGCAAATGGAAGAACACCAACGGCAATTTGGGATTTGGGGGTGTTCTCGCCTAAGACCTGGGAGGATTTTTCTTTTCTTGGACCCTTTGGTCGACAGAGCTCCGAGATTCATGTCTAAGCGCTTCTGAGGTGGTTCCCTACTAGGTCCCCCAGTGGTGCCCTTTTAACCTTTTTTGGGAGAGGGTTCCCCTTCTAAAATAGACTACAGAAAAAAGAAATGGTACCCTTATTCTAACCACTTTACTGGAGGACCTAGCCTATACGTAAAACCATACTTGCAGACTTGGAAAGGTTTCAACAAAACGATGGTGTCTCAAGCCTTAAGGTGCAAGCCAACCCGCTGGAATCGTTGTGGTTTAGGGATCAAGGGGTTTATCCAACCACTTCTGTGATACAAGGGAATCCCCGATTATGGGGGGTTGGTCTTTGGGAGGCTTTTTCTGTTGTATCACAGAAGTGGATTCCATTTCCCACAGCCCTGGCTGGAATCCTTGTGGTTTAGATGTTGTTCCGCTTTTGAACATGTTGCTTCGAGTGTCCTTGGTTTGCACAAAACGGATTTTGGTGTTTCTGGCACAACCAGCATTCCTCCTGAAGGAAAAGGCACTGATATTTCTCTCAGAAAGCCCGTGGCGCCCTTCTTTCATTGTTTGCTCCATCCAGCCAGATGGAAGAAACACACCTGGCCTATGAGGTTTGGCCAACTAGAATTCTCAAAGACAAACACACAATACAAAAGCGGGGGACTGACTCCACTGAATAACGGAAGGAATCCTTTAAACAGGAGTCCCCCAAACGGAGATTCCTCTAACACTGGTGGGTTGTTGGGTTCCATGTTAAGCTGTACATAGGGAACTTGCTCATTTGCCCATGTGCTTGATGGCTAGCAAACATTTTGACAGCCGCCCATGATCTGAAGAAGGAGGTCTGAAGCCGCTGCGAAATGTGGGAGAATTGACATTAGGGTGTTGCCTTTGGCAGCTAAACTTGCAGCAAACAAATCAGCTTGCAATGGAAAGTTCTTCCAGTACAGGTTTACTCATAGCCCTTCAAACACACAAGGAACGGATTGCTTCCGATTGCGCGCTTTGACAGCTTCCCGCATGAAACTCGGGCATTTGTGTTCCCCATCCCTGTTCTGCTCACGCACTTTTGTTTTCCGTTGTTTTTTTCCCCCTTTTTTTTCCGGGGGGGTCTTAACCAAATGGAAGCCTGAAGACTCAGCATTGGAGCAAAGGAAGCTTTGTGAAGGCGCCAAGGGCATTGTTCAAGGGGTTCAGGTATGGGGTTGGGAGGTATGGATGGGTATATTGCCACCAATCTAAGCTAAGGCAGAAAAAACCACTCGTAGAAATGGGTATATAACTCATAAAGCAGGATGGGTTCAGGATGGGTTTTGGATGGGTATAAGCTTCTAAGGCAGACAAAAACTACTTGATGGGTATATACCAAAAACTACTTGTAGATAAATGGTAACCTCCATACCTCCAAAAAACTATACATCCCTCCCAATCATGATCCCTCCAATGCACATTTCCGGGCCCTCCAATGGAAACAGTCCCAGTTTTGAGGGCCCGAAATCAATCGAGACCCTTAGGGCTGAAAATTTCTTGTGAGTTGTGACGTTGCAAAGAAAGATGACTCCAGGTGTGGTGGGCAACCGCGTTCGCAACCGACTCCTGATTGACGTGGGCGTCTTGGCAGCGAAGAGATCTGCGCCAGGAGTGGTCCCTCTTGGAGGCGAAGGTCCTTTTCGTTGAGCTTGAAACGCGCAACGAAGAGGAGCCACCCCAACAGGCCCATTTTGAGACATGAAATGGCTAGGGAAGTCTTTCTTACATGTGGCACACTGGGCGGAAACGGAACTGTTCAGTGGCCAGCCGCCTTCGTTGACGGCGCTCGCGGAATTCCAAACCTAACATTGCCAGTGCATAGCTTGGTCTGTCGGAACGTGTTCTGTTCCATGGGCATTTGGCCAGATTTGACTCAGCTCTCCAGATCAACATTGCACCCTTTGGTTATAGAGGAAGCCCCATTGAAAAATCTGGAGCTTGGCTTTTTTTCGTGCAGGTGTGGCTCGGTTCATGAACTTTAGTCGCAAATACTGTTCATGGACGAAATCCGTTCGCACCACTTTGAAACCATGGTTGAAGCCATGGTTTGTTGGTATTTACGCTGGGGAATCATTCATTCCAGGGTTTCTCAGGTGTTACGAAATGGATTTTGTCCATCCACTGTATGAAAAGTTTGGTGACTTGTTGGGACCCTCAGGAAGTGAGACTGGGCAACTCCGTTCAGGTCTCTTTGCGGTTTTCCAGGTCCTTGTCCTCACCTGGGTCCGTCTCCGGGTTTCTCTTTCTTGTTTCCCGTTCTACGGGTGAGTTCCAGGAGACCCTCTGAGAACTTTTGGAGTTTCAGGTGTTTCCAATGGAATCAAAAAGCAGGAGTGGCTTGCAAAAGGCAGGAGTGAACATCAAAAACTAGGAGTGGTTCTTGGGGGAAACAATTGGAAACAAGTCTTGTTGTCTTTTTTCTTTGGGCCCGCAATTGTACAACTCTGTACACTATCCCAGCAATGACTTTGCGCACCCGAGTGGGTATTCCACTGATTCTACTACGCACATTTATTTTTTTATTTGCGGGAGTTTGCGGGTTCGGGTGCTTTACGCTGAGTTTCAGGTGCTTTCCGGTTTTGCCAATTTGTCGCCCAAAGGCGATAATTCCGAATTCAGAATAATTCTGAATTCTGAATAAATTAATTCTGATTCATGGCAGGTGAGCGATTCTGGTTCAGAATATGTCTGAATTGGAGAGTTCCTTCCGTCAAGTACCGAATCATTGCGATTTCTAGGGGTTTCAGGTGTGCAAACTATTTCCAGAAGCGACCATCAATTTCTAGGAGTTTTACCTCAAAAACCAGGAGTTTGAAAACACTCCTCAGTTTTTTCTCTGAGACCCTCCAAAAAACATGTCTGGTCTTTGTCCGAAATTTTCGCCCCCGAAAGGCGTTCCACTCGCCGGGGGATCGATCCATAAGCTCCGAGGCGTGGAGTGTCGCAGGAAGATGGTATTCGGGCACTGGGACCTGGAGTCCCCGGAGGACCTCAGCCCCTCGAATTCGAGCGGATATTTTTTGTGAATTCAGCGAGTCCCTGCGAAGATGGAGCCCAAATCTTGGGGGTTTTCACCTCGTCCAAAGGAAGCCCTTGTTTTTTTTTTAGTTTCAAGGGCCCCTTCTAGTAGGGAACCAACAATTGTCCTTTTGGTAACCAACTAGACTTTTTTCTGGTGTTTGAATTGCAGAGTGGTTCCCTTGGTTACCTACTCGCAAATGGATCCACTGGGAAAGGGAAGAGTTTGTTCCTGACTGGGAATGGACAAACAGCCTGGACGCGTTTCTTAGGTAAGTTCCCCCCCCACTTGCAACACATGGGAGAAAGGACGGAACGTTTCAGGGGATTGAGCATTCCTTGTATTCCACTTTTAGCTATCTGACTTTCATTTTGACTGATGGGGTATACATTATAATTATATCATGGGCCTTTTGATTGGTACGCACCAGAGGCTAGAAACCGATGCTTGGCAAAACAAGACTGGAGCGAATGATTTGATCAAGCCTCCCCACAGAACTCGGCATGCTTTGGGGGAACAATCAATCTTGCCCGTGCCTCATTTAGTTTCTCCAGCAAGATGTCGCGGCACATTGGAGCGTTTGGCAGACCTTCGTGCCCTGTTTGGTGGGGGGGAAAGCACCCCAAAAAAGTCGTCCCCCCCCTCCCCTTTGGTTTCATGGAAAGCTTTGCCGGGCGATTGGTGTACATCTCTCGGGGCCTGCGGATGGTAACCTAGGTTCTCACCACTTTTGAGTTTTTCTGGGTAGGCTTAGCCTTGCTAGGGGGATAGAACAACCCAAGTGTCCGTCCATGTTGAAGCGATCGATCTAAGGATGCGCCAGCGGTTTGTCTGCTGGCTCCTGGGTGGGAAATCTCACTGCCGGTCACTGAGAGAACTCGCCGTTTTCGCCCGCGAGTCTCGACGTTGCCTCGCACCTTCATGGTTGTTGTTGGGACACATTCCCCATTTTCGCTTCTTGTGGCTTTTCGTGGTTGAAGTCCAACCACTTGAGTGCCAAAATCTTGAGAATTTTGTTGCTCCCCAAACCCAAACCGTCAACTAAGCGCCTTTTCCTGAGCTTCCATTTGCCGTTTTGTTTTTTGGGGGGTTGGTTTCCTGGGGCTTTTCAGCAAATGTGAGCTGAAGTCGCGTTTCGTTTCAAAGCCTCGGCGCCTTTCCCGAAGGTGTACCATGTCCGAGGGTGTTATTTTTGAGTCATCGGCTAGGAACCTTTTCCCCAAATGGTTTGCAAGCTGGTTTTCCTAGGAAGCCGCTGGCCGCTGGTTCAGTTTCTCACCAGAGCTCTGGTCCCTTGGTACACTTTTTTTTGGGGGAGTTGGGTCTAAGTACTCGTAACATCCTTAGCCCTTGCTTTTCGCCTTGAAACAAAAACAAGTACCAAGGACAGCTCTGGTTCAGTTTCTCCGTGCCTCTTCGCCTCGGATTTTGTTTTAAACCGGTGAGGTGCTGAAGTGCTCGCTGGACCCGCCAGAACTGCTGGTCTCTGCCGTTGCCGGGTGGCCCAAAGCTTCGGCGGAGTTCTTTTGAAGGTGACGCGGCGACGTGGCCAGGACACGTCGACGGGGGGTCCCCCTTTTATGGTCAAACCAAAGGCTTCCATTGGCTGAAGAGTATGTTTTATTTTCCCCTGTTGGTTTTCAAGGCAATCTATTACTATGAGGGTGTTTCGAAAAGTGAGGGAGCCCTGGAGGTGGTTTCCTTGTGGTTTCCTCTTAAAACCGTGAAGGGGCACCCCATATGTTGAGAAACACCATGGAGTCACTTGCGAAAAAAGAAAAAAGAGAAGCGATTCGGGTGGTAAGGAGCAATCCCCTTGCCATAAATGAATTGGCGCAGAACTCTCGCATTCCAATTCTTTACATGGTTCTGGGGATCAACCATTGTACTGCCGGGTCTTGATTGCGACTCAAATGGGTGTTTCTCAACATAGGGGGTCCCGTTTATTTATGGTTTTGAGAGGAAACCAACAGGCCTACTGAGCAACCCCCTATTTCTAAAACAAAACAAATGCCTGGACCCCTAAAGTTATGAGGCGAGTTCCCTTTTTGAAGTTTGAGGGTTCAGGTACATGAAATTTTTAAGGACGAACCATGCGGGGGATCCGGATGAGTATAGATTTATCCCAAAGCTCACAGGCCCAAAGTTCAAGGTGCTTCCCCCGAGAGGAAAAACAAATCCCAGGGCTTACTCATTGCCCAGAGGTAAGTCCTGTGGCTCAACTCTGAGCTCCATGGAAAAAAATCGCGATGGGCTTCCTTTTTGGAATTTTACATGGTTGTTGTTGGGAAACATTGGACACATGTTTGCTTATTGTGGTTTAGTGGTTGAAATCCAACCACTTAAGTGCTAAAATCTAATTTGTTGCTCCCCTTCCAATGTCAACCAAGTATTTAATTATGGGCTTCCTTTGTGGGGTTCCCTGGAAGAGTTTTTGATGGGTGATTCCTTTTTTTCGGCCGGTCCGTTTTGGTGTCCATGGTTGCCATGTGGCGATGACATGTAATGAAGAGGGTCCCCAGTTGAAACAAAACACACACCCAGTCATTCCATGGGTTTTCATTCAGCACCCCCTTCCCCCAACTTGTTTCTGTTGCTCTTTCAATGTGCCAAATCGCAAGCGTTTGACCCAATCAAGGGCACCATTCAGGCGGTTCGCTCGATGGCGTACCGAGCTTCCCCCACGCGTGTATTCCAGTCGTGCCAGCTGATCTCTGGTGCTATCCAAACTCAGTTCGCATCCATCCCCGTAGCTCTTTAGCTTTTATAGCGTTTCGTGGGGATTTCCATTCAACCCGCTAAAAGTTTTCAACTTTTAGCCGGGGATCTGAGGGCAGCCGAGCAAAAAGGAGATGTTGGGGGGTAGGATCTTTCATGTTTTATTTTCCCCTGTTGGTTTTAACGGGAATATATCGGAATTTTGTCACTGGACATAGGATGTTTTTGTCCAGGCTGAATCAAATGAAGGGGATTGTTCCCAGTTTCTTGGGACCGTCGCGAGGCTCGAGAACCAGACACCCTAGTGGACGGCGAGGTGGTGCAGGCGCGGAGAAAGCGTGGTCCCACTTTCTCCGATGGGCGGCTCTTCTTGTTGCTCACACTTCCCGAGTTTTTTGGATTTTAAACTTTTTGGAAAGACCGTTTTAGTGGTAGATGAAGAAGTTTGGAGACTTTCTGGACTTTAAACTTTTTGGAAAAGGCAATTTTAGTGGTAGATGAACAAGTTTGGAGACTTCCTGGACTTTAAACTTTTTGGAAAGACCATTTTAGTGGTAGTTGAACAAGTTTGGAGACTTCGTGGACTTTAAACTTTTTGGAAAGACCATTTTAGTGGTAGTTGAACAAGTTTGGAGACTTCGTGGACTTTAAACTTTTTGGAAAGCCCATTTTAGTGGTAGAGGAACAAGTTTGGAGACTTCCTGGACTTTAAACTTTTTGGAAAGACCATTTTAGTGGTAGATGAACAAGTTTGGAGACTTCCCGGACTTTAAACTTTTTGGAAGGACCATTTTAGTAGACTTTTTCTGGCCAGTCCACTCCGGAAGTGAGTTTTGGAGTTGGTGCCCCTTGCTTGGTGGGTTAAGGAAAACGAAAGGGACAGCCCTTTGCCACTTTGGGGGGTCCGATTCCTAACAAAACCGGACGAGCCGTCCGAGTTTTGCACTCCACCTTTTCCTCAATACCCACTTCTGCTGTGCTTGCCCACTTCTTCTTTTGTGCACTGCTTTTTGCAGGCCCTCTTGTTGGGGGGTGAGTTATTGCCCCAGAACGAGGGCTAGAAGAAACCACTGAAACCCCGAGCCCTCAAATGCCGTCTCCATAACTGGGGCCCTGAAAGTGATTTCGATCGGGCTCTAGATCATGTTCGGTGGTTTCCATTTGAGCCGTCATTTTGAAGGTTTTCAGGATGGCATGATGTCACTCACTTCAATGCACCCAGAAGTACAACAGAGAGTCCCTCATTTGTTCTCCGCGCAAAGTGGCCAATAAAAACCCGTGTAATTCAAAGGTTGCAGGGGGCAGGCCCAGCAACAATCAGCGTTTTCCGCCTTTTAAGTTTCTTTACATGCTTCGGCAACACCAGGTAAATTCGATAGTTGAATACCATGTGTTCAATATGACAGAATGGTTCATGAAATCAGCTCCATGCCCCATTCCCCATTCAAGGTGACGGATACTAGCAGAGGGCCCTGGTTTGGTCTTTTTTTACGCACTCACAAGTGAGCGGTGATCAAAACACCTTGAGTTACCTGTCTTTTATGGGTAAGGGCTGTGTAAGCCTTTATAGCCGAAAGTCATATGTTGGCAAGCAAAAGAACAGCCAGGCCTTTCTAAACCTGTATAGCCAACAGCACCCTTCAACAACTGCTTTTTGCATATGTTGCAAGCCCTAAGTGCAGTCCAACAAGCAGTCCAAAAAGCAGTCGTTGGGGGTGCTGGCAAGGTCTTATAAAAGGACGACCAAAAATCAATTCGGGTCTTCGCTCAAGTCATCTGGCGCCAGGGGCGAGTGGGGTTGGTCGCTGAGCGGCCCGGCGGCGCTTTAAGATTCATTGTTCTGTCACACAAAATGCACAAAATGGGTATGTGTCAAAATAGGGGTCCTGTTGGCTTCCTTTCAAGCCAACCTGCAAAAGTGTACACTCGAAAAGACACCCAACAGGGGGTCGACATGGCTCCCCCTAAACGCATCAAGCAGCACACACACCCACACTAGCTTTGATCAAGAAAACCTGAAAGTGAGTTTCGGGGGTCCCAGGAACAGTTCCGTGAAACCACAAAAGCTACAGCTTTGCTGTTCCCGTGGTTCTTTTTGCCGGATTTATGTTGGTAACTGATTGCCAGTTACTCCTGTTGTTTGCATTTTTGGGACCCCCTTTGTTTTCCACTCACTCGCTGTTTTTTGGTGGGGTCCGAATTCCAGTCAAGGGTCCAGGTAGATCTGCAGGTACGGAATCTTCTTCGAGGTCGGCTGCCGGTCGGGCGCCCAGACGGGGCAATGCAACAGGGTAAGGCGAGCTGGGGCGTGTCTAGTTTTGCGGATGACCCTGCTTTGTTGTCAAAAAAACACCAAGAAGACACACACACACACAGACACACGCCCACGTGCGGATTCCGAATCTCGTCAATTTGTGAGGGGCAATTTGGGCAGATCTTTTCTTCCTCAAAGCGGAGTTTGTGCAATCGAAAAGTGGAGTCGAGAGGACTCAAAAAGATCCCTCATTTAGCTCATCCACACTTTGGGGGGTTGTCAAAATATAAGGTCCCCCGAATTAGTTGGTTTTTCTTTTTAACTTCAAGTGCCAACTAGGGACAACTAGCGGTCCAGCATTTTTGAGAAACTTAGTTTGGTTCATCCCTTCTCAGTCTTCTAGCAAGCGCTTTTGGATGCCCTTCTTGGGATTTCACATTTCTTTGTTTTTTTTCTCCCCGGGTTCTTTTTTTTAATCACGCTTCTGGCACATGTTTCAAGTTGTTCTTCCCCCTCTAGGTTCTCTTTTTTAGGACTCTCTTTTCGTTCGTGTCTCATATCCTTCTGGGGGATCCACGGATTCGCCGCATCGCCTTTGCCTCGTTTCGAGGCGCCGAGTGCTGGCGCGGCCCCGGCACTTGCTGCGGCCCTTGGAGCAGTGCACACCTCAGTCGAGCGAAAGGCCTCCAGGGCCTCCCGGATTAAACCCCTGGTCTTGACTGCTATTGGGTTGGATCTTTAGACTTTAACTTTTTGGTTGAAATCATGCATTTTTTCCACTAAGCCACCAAACAGTTAAACTGTTTGCAAGGGGTCAACAGCAACCAAGTGGTTGATTAATAGGGGGGTGTCCCCTTTTAGTGGGGTTTCAGACCACTTTAGGAGGGAACATCCCCCTAATAATGGCACGGGTTTATTAATGCTGGGTCAACATTACCTTCCATTTGCGCTTAAATGAATATGTTTTAGTTTCCCCTGTTGGCTTTTAAAGGGAATCTATACTATATCACTACAGTTGTTTTTCCAGGTGGCTTAAGCCAATGGAAACTACCCATTCGGGGGGTTGATCAATATTCCCTTCACAATTCTTGGCATGTGTGTTGGTTGCTCTTTTTTTTGCGGGGGGTTCAGTTCCTTTTTTACTGGGGGGCTGCAAAAAAAGTTTTGCTGCCATGCCAAGAGTTGTAGAGTTCCCCTCAGCCAAAGTGGTTCCCCACCGTGATGCCACGACAACCCCCTCTTGAATAGTGAATAGGTCTTGGGGATACTTTGCGAGGTTCTTATAGAATCAGAGTTGTGGTTGCCAATGACCTTGATCAAGTTTCCCTTTTAGTGGGAGATATCATGTTTTTGTGGTTTCCCCCGATGGTCATCCGATGTAGAGGACCTTGATCAACCTTGATTTATTTGGAAGGGGGTTCCAACTTGAAACTCCACATACCAAGAAAGGGCACGCATCTTTTTGTTGTCCACGGTCAGCTCTGTTTTTTGTTCAACGTGCTCGTTGGCGCACGCCATTCCGATCAGTCCGCAGCTGTCTGACAAGAGCGACCTTCCGGAAATTGGGAGTTCGATGTTTGCCCCGCCGTTGCTTGCTTTGATTGCGCATCTGGATCAGTCACGGTTTTGACCATGGGACATTTTTGGTCTTGAACAATCAACGGCCTACAAGAAATCCTCTTCAAGCTTCATGGTTCTCAGGGAATCATTTTCGGTGTGAGACCCGATTCCCTTAGAAGCCACTCAGGATGAGGGTCATTTCATCTCGGCTCCCTATCGAACCAGCAAGGGAGCCAAGCCTCCTTGCCCTTCTTTCCCCAACTGGTACCCTCCCACCACTTCACACGGAACCGTTCGACCTTCAGAACCAGATGTCTGTGAAAACGGGAAAATGCTCCAAAACCAACACCTTGCTGGTGCGACTGGCAGGGAATCAGGCAAATAAACCCCTAGAAACCGTCCGACTGTTGATTTAAGGGGACCAAAGCCTAGGTTCATTCCACCTCATTTCCTACCTATGGTAGGGAATATCCCCAAAAAACCGTAAGGGAATCCCCAAATGCTTCATTCCCAGCCCTTTTCACCCTCCTGGTTTCACGGGCAAAGCCCAGGTTCATGGCCAACTCATTCCCCATGGCACCAGCCAGGTCATCCCTTACCCCGCCTTGAGTCCTTGAGGGGTCAGAGGCAGGGTTGTGGGATCAAGGGGTTTATCCAACCACTTCTGTGATACAAGGGAATCCCCTTTTTACATAGCGGGGTAGTCTTTGGGGGACCTTTTTCTTGTATCACAGAAGTGGATTCCATTTCCCACAGCCCTGGTCAGACTGTCAGAGGTACTCGGAAGGCCAGCTGGTGCGCCGGCTCTTCGTGTTCCGCGATGAAGTCGGACGGCGCGGCGCCCAGAAGAGGCGAAGCCGCTCGATGTGGGCGAAATGGGAAGCAGCTGCCTGGGGTTGGGGGGGGTGCAACCTGTTTTGACAGGAGGGGAGGGAGACCAGAAGGGAAACAGCTGGTTTTCTTTTTGGTCTTTTGTGGGGTGTACTATTTTTTGCTGGGGGGGGGGGAGACCAAAAAGGAAACAGCTCTTTTTTGGGGGGGTTTTAGGGGGGAGGGTCAACCTGTTTTTTTTGATACATTCCCAGATGCGCATGTCCTTCTTTTCACCTGGAAGGGCCGCATGTCACTCTCTGAGTTTCCGGGCGTGAACAAAGATGGAAGCTTTTGCAGAAGCTGCGTCAGTTCCGTTCGGATCGCTCGGCCCCTTCGGCCCTTCTCCCGAACCCAGGTTGGTCCCGATCCTATGACAATAGTCACTTGTCCAGGGTCACTCTGATGCAACCCCAAATTCAGTACCCTCAAAACAGCTACTGAGCCAGCAAGAGTTGATCCCGACCATTCGTGTCGTTTTCTTCACCATGAAGGCTTGTACCTTCCTATGGGCGAGCTCTGGGGAGAAAGCAGGCTCACACATGTTCTTCCGTTTGCTTAATTATACGCTTTCTTTTCCCCCTGTTGGCTTTGAAGAGAACCATCACTAGTAGAAAAAACGTTTGTTTTTCAGGGGTCTTAATCAAATGGAAGTGTTCCAGGGGTGTGGTAAAGCTCCAGCCAAAGTAGCACCAATCAGGAAGCAAAACATAGGAGAACCATGAGGGTCGAGAGGCTCGAAACCTAGACTTGAGTCCTGAAAGTGGGGCTCGTTCGGCTAGATCCCAGTTTCCTCAGCCAAGCGTTTGGAGCTGCCAAAGGGTAGCAGCTTGGATAAGACAACCTTTCTTGTTTTTGACATGGTAGCCTCCCACCAGCTAACATGGGTTTGTGCACAGACCCCTGTAGAAAGACGACTTCCCTCTTGGTTAGTCGGCCTTTTTGCACTTCCATGTTGGTTGGTGGGAGGGTAGCATTTGGGTCGTATGTTTCGACTTTCTTGGTCCAAGTCTTGCCCCTGGAAACAAAAGCCAGGGTCCTTTCATTGAAGCTCCAGGATCTTCTCGGTGCTTGATGTGGCCAAATATATATATATATATACACACCCTCCCACCTCAGAAAAAAATGCACCGTCCCTTCGAGTGGACAGCTCAATCTCCCTGGGGTCATTATTTTGAGGGTTTCTGGTGGTTATCAAAGTCACAAAATGGGGGTGTGTCCCTGTACCGCAGCACTTACAAACGGACTGTGATCACAGTAAAATAATGAGGCCAGTTTCCTGAAACAACGCCTTTGAAAGGTAAAGGTAGTTGTGCTCACAGACCCTTCCCCAAGACGTGTGAAAGGCACTTCCTGCACGGTTGTAAGAAACGACCAATTCCGGTTGCGGGCGTGTCTTGTCTTTTTGGAGGTTACCCCCTTTTTGGTGGGTGCTTAAAGGAAAAATATCAAAGCCACTTTCCTCCTCTCAAAACACGAGCTGGTTGGGAGGGAGCTGTTACCGGAGTTGAGGGTATCCAAATTTGCTTTTACATAGGAAGCCAATTTTGGAGGCACCCATCGGATTCCCGGAAGGACATAGATAAAAGACGAGCCACCCCGCATCTCTGAATTTCAAAGCACCGTCTAAGGTTCATATAACCGCCATGGTTCACAGAAGGAACGTCTGGTCATCCAAATTGGGTCAATTCTTTTGGGCCGCCTAAGAAACCCTGGTTTCTGATGACTCATGGCTTCCCATGGCCTCATTTCGTGATTTCGTAATGGGATTTCGCAACCATCCCACAGTCTCAGTTGGATCCGTGGCACCCTTTATTATGTGTCCCCCTTTTTTTTGGTGGCTGCCCCACTCAAAAATTGGTCTTCCCCAAAAAGGGTTCCCTTTGATTTTCGTCTCTGAGTTGCCCGGGCGTCCACTTCGACGAACAAAACGATCACCTCGGCAACGAGGCCTGCGCTGTCGGAGGGGGGCCCAGCCCCACGACAGCAAGCCACCGAGGTGTCGCCCGAGGCAAGGAATCGACGAGTCTGGGAGCTGCGTTGTTGACTTTCTTTTTTTAAATCTGTCCTGCTCTGCAACTTTTCCGGCCACGTTGCCCCCATTTCCCCATTCTCAACGGAGTTGACCAAGTTCACCTTAAGATTTTCATTGTTTTATTTACCTGCACTCATGAAGACCGGTTGTGTCAATTTGTATGTCATGTGCCGCAACGTGCCAAGTGCAGGAGTGGAACGAAGATGACCAAAAATTGTGGGGTAGTTTCCCCTTTTTAAGGGTAGTTTGACTGCACCTGTCCTGTTACGGGGTGTTCCCTCCAAAAGTGGTCTGAATCCCGCCAAACCCACCAACAACCCCCTAAACTGGGGTTCATTCATGCGGGGTTCTCAAAGTTAACCGGACATCCGGACCACCCCCGGGAAAAAAATATCCTGGAAAAGAGCACATATTCCAGTATACTGCTATCTCTTTATCACCAGAGGGACACATTTCAGCAACTGGAAATCCAATCCACTACTTTTGCAGGGGAACACCCCCTAATAACAACCCGTCCCGAGGGGCATTGGGGTCAACATGGATTGGCTTTAAAAAAAGAAGAAACTCTGCCAGGGTTCCCATTATCACAGAAAACGGCTACCAGCACCTTCACGCTGATTTGCCAATCGCAAATCCGAAAAAAAGGCGTTTGGGGAGCCCCAAGGCCAAGGTGCTCAGAATGTCGCACGACCCATGCCACAACCTCCTTGAGAATGAACCTGGGGTTTCGAACCTAGGAGACTAGCCCCAGTTTCGCATCACCCATGGTTATAAGCTACCTGTGTTGGTTGCAAAATAAATAATCCGGGAATTTCTACAGGAACCATGCCCAAAGTACCCACCCACAAGTAGAACTTGTTGAATTTCCTGCTGGTTTGTTAGACAGTAGGGAATGAGTTGAAAATCAACCCGAATGATTTTTTTCGTGCTTTTCTAGGGGATTCTCAAAAACCCAGCGGTGTCCCCAAAACTTTTCTGACAGATGACACCATTTTTTCCGGGTCCCAGTTGTTCAGTGGCACCTATTCTTTTTCCCCCTTTCTTTTTTGGTGGCTGCCCCACTAAACATGGTCTTCCCAGAAAAGGGTTCCCTTTTTTCCAGGGTCACTGAACAACTGAGGGGTTGAACATTGCTTAATGTCCTTTGGTTTCCATCGGTTCGGCCTGCTCACGCAGTGGTAGGAAAAACAGAGCTAAAGGCTAGATGATGGGCAATCCCCATGCAAATGATGTCCACCGAAAGGCTTCCAATCAAAACGCATGCTGAGTGTGCAGCTCGTTTTCTAAACACTGTGCAACCCGTGCTGGGCATTTTGAACGCCCAAATTGGTCATCTTCGGGCTGTGACCCGCCCTTCAGTAGTTCCCAGCGAATGTTCCGGTTCAGGAAGGGTTAGCTTGGTTTTGGGTTTTCATCTGAGAAAGCGCTCCGAACTTTTAGCAGAGGAACAAGAAAGAAACAGAACTAACACTACCCTCGGAAGATCTGCTGAGGGTTCGGCTCGACTTTCAGAAAGCTTTCGTAGGCGCTGGGCCTTCCCGGTCCGGAGGCCGGGAAGTCGGAGATTCTTGGTTTACTCTTTGGCGCATTTTGCTTGGCTGTTCGGGCTTTAACTCTTGGCAAGTTGCAACTGGGTTTTCCGTACTAAACCACTAAAAGTTTAAACACAAAAAAACTTTTAGCAGGGGCCTCAGGGGAGCGGGAAAAAGAAAAAAAACGGGTGAGGTACTCGTGCTGGGTGTGTGTTGGTATGTTCTTGCGACTTGGTGGCCCATCCCAGTTTGGTGGTTGCCCACTAACAGTTAAACCAGCAGGGGAATTTGAGGACAGCGCAGGTGTAAGAGACCTGAAACCTGATAACCCAAATCACCTTACTAGCTGCATGTGGTGTCTTAAGGGCATACCACATGAGTTTTCGACCGCGAAGCCTCTTGTAATTTGCGGTACATGGCCAGGCTTTCCTTCTCCCCCCTTGCAATCTTGTTTCGGCGTCCGCCGAAGCTCCAGGAATCTGATCATTTGGGGCATGTCGAGCTTTCTTTCTTTTCTTCGGGTACCTTGTTTGCCGTTGTTTCGAACGGATTTCAGAAGCCCGTCCGTGCAGCTTCCGGTGATTCGTTCAATCCCGTTTCAAGGATTTACTTGCTGGCGCGATAGGGAATGGCTTTCCGAGAATGAACCGGAACTGTTGGTTTGTTTTTTTCTTCGGGTCATTCCATGTCTCATTCCGTGCCTATCGAACCCTGGCGCGAGTCCAGCTCTGCCTAAGGTCAGCCTGTACTTGACTTGAAAAGCTCAGGCCCTGTCCTAGGTCCAATCCAATATTCCGGGAATCTGAGGAGCTACCCGGTAAACGAGCGCAAGCTTCCTGTCCAGATTTGTGTTTCAAAAAAGGTGTGTGTTTTGAGGCTGCCCCGTTTTGGCGTAGGGAAACCACTAGGAAAGCCAGCATTGGGGTCCAAATCTTTCATTGACACATATCCAGGGTTCGTTTTTGTTGTTTTTTTCGGTCGGTGTAGACTGAAACCCAGAGGTTTCCCTTTTCCCTTAGCCACTCTTGGGTTTAAGCCTTAGCCCAATCACCACCTGTAACCCTGAGCCCTCTTGGTGGCGAAGCCAGCCATCCCTTTCCTTAAGCTCTTCTCGCGACTTTTTTTGTGGTCATAGCGGTAGTTTCCGAATTTAACCCGAAAGTTAGTTCCTTTAAGCCGGGGAGCAGAAAACGGACCGCTCAGTTCAAGTTGTTTGTCCCCATCGCCACGAGAGGTCCCGCTGCGTTTTGTGTTCCTTTTTTGTGGGTGTAGAGTTAAACCCACAGGTGTCCCTTCTATCTATAGCCCCTTGGTTTAAGCCCTAGTCAAACAAAAACGGACCCCTGAGCCCAATTTCATTTTGTCTCGACAGGTCCCGCTGCAGGGCGTGGTGGTGTCGCGGCTGCCCTACGGCTTGGTCCTGGAGCTCCAAAACTGCGCGCGCGACGCCTTCCTCAGCCAAAACCTCTGCCGCGACATCGAGGCGCGCGCGAGGGGCGCGAGGCGCGGAGGCGCGCTCGAGGCAAAACACGGTGATGGTCACTCCAAATTGGTCGACTTGTTCGATGGGCGGTGGTGTAGCCCTGACTCAAAAGATGGTATTTAGTGGAAAAGCCTGGAGTTTGAATGTGCTACCCTCCCCATTCTCTTCAGGGATCCTTCTCTTCAAATGGGCCAAATACCTGGAAAATAGGTGGTTTCTAAAGAGAACGATGGGTGAAGAGAATGGGGAATCAAACCTTGGGAATGTCGACTTTCGTCGGGAGTTGGTTTTGGGAATGACTCGGAAGGGAATCTTGCTTTAACGGCAACCATTGAAGTGGGTTTTGGGAAAGAACCAGGGATTTTGTTTTTTCGGAGACCATCGAGGAAGCTTTTTTTGCGGGGTCAATCCATTTCTCCTTCCCTGCATCGAAGCAATTGCTGCAATCCAGGCGTACCCGGTCGGCACAAAGCTGGTCGTCCAGGTCCAGATCTTAGCTGAGCCAACCGAGCCTCCTAAAAAATGGGAAGGGGTCCAGGGGACCCAATTTGGATATGACGCTTTTTAGATATGTTATACGAACCCAAGCATGGTTTTAATAGTTCGAATCCCAGGTACAAAAGCTGGAAGAAGCTCTTTAAATAAAGAATGGTTATATATGAACCCAAGCACTGTGTGATGCTTTAAGATTCTAGTTGAGGTGCTTAGATTCCCAAAAACCATCAATTTTAGAAGGTACTAAGGGACATGGGTGTTTGATCGGCCCCCAAACGCCATCCTTGGACAGACATTTGGGCACCACGCAATGAGTTCGCGAATGGTGTCGGAGAGAGCGAAGATCCAAATGGGGATTCCTCGTTTCCAGTGAACAACTTCCCCTGAAGCTTTTGGCATATGTGGACGTGGGGATGCTGAGCCCAGTTGCCCAGGGGTGCCCTTTTACTTTTTTTTTGGAAAGGCTTGCCTTTAAAATCAACCCGCCAAAAAAAAAATGTCCCTTTTTCCCCTGGCCTAATAGACCAAGCAGAATGGGTCTTGGCCAGGGAGCCAATGAGAAACCCGAAGCTCTTTGTGCTGTCAAGGAAAGTATGGGTCAAAATTGATGCGCCAGGGGACCCCATTTACCAGGGTTCCATGTTGTGTACCTAGTTTTGACCCACACCCACATCTATTCCAAGCTATCCCTTCCACCCTAAAAATGGAAGCATCCCTTTGAGCCATTGCAAGCCGAGAAGGACCTTGTTTGGGTTCAAACGCAATCAGCCAGAGTCTTACCGCCAGATGCCGCGTGCCGCGATGTACCGCCGAGGTGCTCTCTGCTAGCTTTGCGGGGGACATTCAAGTGAGAGAGCTTGGCGTTGAGTGACGTCGAGATGGCGAGTCATGCGCTTTGCGGTTGTATGCGGTTGTTTGGATCATGTTTAAAAATTGGCGGCGAATGGCTGACTCTTCCGTTCGACAATGCATGTATGCAATATCCCGCAGGAAACTTCAAAATGGGAAAAATGTCAGTTTATATTGCCATGGATTGTGGGGATTCCTCCAACAGTGGTCAACTGGTAGATTATAATGTGGGATTCAACAGACTTGGTTGTTTGCAGGATCATATGTTGGATTGAACAACCACTTCAACCGCCTTGTGGGCTGACCATCGATATCGATTGCATCTGCCTTTGGGCGGGTTTCACGCCTTCACATCGAGCGGAACACAAAACAATGCGGAGGGTGTCAGGACAGCTCCGAATGCCGGGTACAAGGGAAGCTTGGAAGACAGCGTGGGTCAATCAGTTCTTGACAATCCGATATGTTGGTAGCATATATATATATACACCCACATTTACCAACTCCATGTGGGTCAATTGTAGGTTTGTCGATTACCCACACGGATTGGGATTGGACCCTGGCTGAATGTCAAGCAATCGACGTGTTACGTGGGCCGTGTCGGGAGGACAGGGAGCTGCTGGCAGACAGCGTGTTGAAGGCTGGTTCGCGCCTGTGATCTCCGGGGGATCAAAGAGAAAGAAGGATGTTTACATAGGTGTCCTTTTTGTTGTTTTGCTAGAAAAATAGATGGCCCTAGTTTACCTGGTGGTTTGATCATCTACCAGGACACCAAAACTCAGGGAATGGCCTGGCCCAGCTCCATGCAGCAAAAGAAGGATGGTTAAACACTTTTTGGACAGATCATCTTAGTGGTAAGTATCAAGTTTGGTTACTTTTTTTGGGCCATCCACTCAGCAAGTGAGACTCACAGATCAGTCTGTCTCTCCGAGGGATGTTTACATAGGTGTCCAATTTTTGGTTGTTTTGCTCGAAAAAAAAAAAAAAAAAGGAAAAACTATGGCGATTCCTGGTTTACCTGGTGGTTTAGTCATCTACCAGGGCCATCTATTTCCCCTAAAGGGACACATGGATGTTTAAACAACAAGTCTGTGTTTCAGTACGGCTCGGTTTGCCTCGAAACCAGGAGGCGTTGTTGTTCTTTTGGACGAAGCACCCGACTGCGTCCACTTGCTTTTTGGTTGCTTACCGACATTTGAGCGCATGGGGTTGTCCCGAGTTTCAAGCTGGTTATGTTGGGTTTGATTGAGCGACCCAAAGCCCAAGCCGTGCTGGGGGACTTCTATTTCAAGCAGCTTCAAGAAATGGATGCTCCTCATGGTCCCTCCCCAAGAGTCAGAGTCAATGCAAACAGACTCGGAGAATTTGGGCGCCTTCTGAGGGCACCCTTTCTGGGATGGTAAATGGAACCAAAAGCAAGACCAAAGTTATTTTGGGGGTCCAACCTTAGGAAAAGCACCCCCATCCTGTGGATGGACAAAACCCTGCACCACCTAAGAAGCCCTGGTTCTGATTTGCTTCCTGTACGTAAATACCAACTTACTTCGCTGGTTTCATTCCCATGGTTTCATCTCGTGGTGCAATGGAACGGATTTCGCAACCACTCCTCAATTCCGTCTACTCACACTAGGTCCCCCAGTAGTGCCCTGTCTCACCCCTTTTTGGTTTGGAGGGTTCCCCTACTAAGATAGACTACAGGAAACAGTTGGTACCCCGCTTCTAACCTCTCTACTGGAGGACCTAGTTAAGATACCTCGAGTATGTTTCCACAAGTCCATGTTGGGATGGGTGAGCGGGAAGCGGCCTAGCAACAATACCTTAAGCAAAGCCAAGTGACACTCACAGTAAGTCTGTCTTCTTCTGCGTATGGGCCATGCTTTCAGTTGACCCAATTCCGACGTCAGGCGGCGTGGGTCAACTGCCGCGTGCCGCTGCTGGCGCGGTATGACATGGTACGGATGCCCCGGAACGCATGAAGCGCCGGAGAAAAAATGAATAAATCAGAAACGAGAGAGATCAATGTGGTTAGTAGGTTAAGGGACTGACAACACAATAAACTAATAAATCAAGAATGATAATGAATAACAATAAAACAAACACGGGAGAGCTCAATGTGGTTAGGCTAAGAGACTGTTGGGTTCACCATTACCAGCTTTGGAGTATGATCAGTATGACGTTGGGACAACCGGCGGCTCGCACTCCAGAGACAGAATCGTGAAAAGGACATGAGCCACAAACCAAACCCGGGTAAGTGAAGGTTAGTAAGGGACGATCCCAGCCATAAATAGCTGCGGATATCCGCCTTGATACATGGTTCTGGGTCGACCCATTCTGGTACCGGGTTTTGATTGTGACTCACATGCCACCAGAATCCTGGCAAGAATGCAGGCGAACATGGGAACGAACCCATTTGCATGCGCAGGATCTAATGGCAGGGCAATGCCTGGTACATTTCTGAGCAAGCATGTTACAGGTTCTGCATTGCTTGGTATTTTTCTTACAAAGGCCTCCATAGACCCACTGAAAGGGTCCTCAGCCGCAAGAGCCCAAGGTAATTCGCCCCGTACCGGCGCATGTTTAGATCCCATGTTTTGCAGACTTTCCTGCAGAGCTCTGAAAAATCGCTCTGTGCCAGGCTACCTGCAACTCATCTTAGAGAGTTCCAAAGGCTTAAGAACATGAAACCAATCATGGGATCTCAGTTGTTCAGTGGCACGTTTGTATTTTTCCCCTTCTTGTTGGTGGCTAAAACCACTAAAAATTCGGTCCAAGCCCCAAAAAGGGTTCCAACTCTTTTTTTTCAGGGTCACTGAGCAACTGAGGGATTCCTCAGTTTCGGCACCCTCTAGCTTCATTGGCGCAGCGTCTTTTGCCTCAGGTCGATTGCACCCCGCAAGAGTGGATCTCTGCATACGAGGCGGGCGCACGGCGTTGGAGTCCACCCCGCGGTGTCTGCTTCGTTTCTCTCCCGCGAGAAGTCAAGTCTCAGCTGCACAAAGCGAATCGACCTGTTCACCTTCTGGTTTCCCTTGTTTCTTGACTGCTAATGGGTTGGATCTTTAGACTTTAACTTTTTGGTTGAAATCAAGGGGTTTTCCACTAAACCCCGGGGGTCTCGCCAGCAACCAAGATTTGGTCCATATTTTGTCCTGTCCTCAAAAGATGATCACCTGTTTGTTTCCAGATCCTGTGGGCAAGTGTAGGGTGCTAATGAAGCTTATAGGTTTTGTTGGTTGGCGAGGGCTCCATTTTTGGATTTCCCTGGGGGAATCGGTTGGACCTGGGACGTGAAAATGGCTCCACCGATTTGCTCGGCTCGCCACCGATGGTTTGAGTCAAGCTGAGGACACGTACCCAAAGGACCCAAAAGGCTCGATGCCTAGGCCGGTTCCCATGGCGCAGTTTCAAGCCCTTTGCGCCTTTGAAACTTTGTGGTTTCCCACGGTTTGCCTCTTTGGTGCTCCAAATATGTTCTTTCTTTTTGTTTTTTGGGGGGGACTTTTGGGTTAGTACTGGTTCGGGTGTGGTTTGGAGGCTGCCGCTTGCGGCAGATTTGTTGGCTTGTTTGCATTGCCATAGATAGCAGTCCGCAACTGCGGACATGCCTTGTTTTGTCATGTTTTTTTTCAGAACAAATATGGCCATGGGTCAAAGTCCCGTACCCCTAGTGAACATCCCAATACCCCCCCTCTAAAATAAGCTAAACTGGGTGGCGCACCTACCCCAAAATGGTACCATTGGTTTTGACCGCCATATTATGTGTTTTTGTCTCAGCTTTAACGCCTTCAGCTCAGACACAGGCCTGTTTCTTATATGCGTCTTTGTGCATGTCACAGGAGAAACTCGGTTTGGCGAGGGACCTTTTGTTTGACCTCGTTGGTTCATGTCTCTTTGCTGCAGGAAGGCAATAGGAAGTCATAACGCACGGCTGCGTGCAAGGGTAGAGATTGGTGTTTGGAGGGGCTGTCGTTTTCTTTCATGTATTTCACACGTCTAGCACATGTGCCAATATGGACATAGCTAAGAAGCTGTGTGTGATGGGCGCGGGGGGCTGATGCAATCAAGCTCTGTTCTGCCGCTCAGTTGTTCAGTGCCGATTCTTTTTCCCCCTTTTTTTGGGGGGGCTAAAACCACCAAAAGTTCGGTCCAAGCCCCAAAAAGGGCTCCGGATCCAACCTGTTTGTTCCCGGGGTCGCTGAACTACTGAGGCTGAGGCTTCTATGTTGTTTTTTTTCCCCGTTTGGAAGAGCCTCAGGACCTGAGGGGCCAAAAGGGTTTGCCTGGCTGGGGATTTTTCAACGTTTGCAACTTGCCCCAATTCATCTGGAAAGGCCAAGTGATGAAGGGCGCTACTGATGCTTTTTAGGGGCCCTTCTTGCCGTTTTTTTTTTTTTTGCACTCTTTCCTTTGGAACGGTCGACAGTCGCCACAGGACTTGAGTGGGGGTCTTTGGTTCTCTTCCCTGGATTCATTGTGTGTACTGTTGTTTGCCTGTAACTTCACAACAAGTCGCCAGATGTGATGGATGGGGGTGCTACTGGTGCAACCAAGTCTGTCCTGCCGATGTTTTTTTTGCTTTGCGCTCTGTCGCGGACCTTTGGTTTTCCTCCGTTGGCTTCTTTTCCTTTTCCCTATCTGGAGACGTGGATTGGTTGTTTGCACCTTCCTCTCTTTTTGTTGGAAAGATCCGCACAAGCAATGGATGGGAGGATTTCGTCGACGCTCGGGAGCCGTCTGGCAATGGTCCGGTGGGTGCAAGGCCACCCTCCCCTGAAAAGTCCGGATCGCGCCGTCCGAGCCGGCCGTAATTTCCAGCCACGGGCGCAATTCTCAGAGCCTGGCATGAAGCGCCAGGGAAAGCGTTGGCTTAGGCATTGAACGGAGTCTGCCATAAGGGCATGCGGCAAAACAAGTTCCTTCCGCATTCGGCCGTGTTTTTGTTTGTGATGGCCAAAAGCTTAGATAAAAGGAAGAAGAACAAAAACGGCCAGAACAAAGCCTTTCGGACTCTAGGGACATTGAAAGAATGTTCCTCAACATGGGTGTCCTGTTTGTATAGTGTGGTCGCACGTGCGTGGCGCTTGTTCATGCAAATTGGACTTCTGTTTCTTTCTTTTTTGGGGGGGGGGAGAACCGGTGGAGGGAAGCGGAAAGGACACAAAACAGAATTGGAGGCTCGGTCCTTCCACTTGGACTTCACGGTTCTCAAGTTCTTTGTTTTTGGTTCTGTTCATTTGTAAAGAACAAAGTTTGTTGCAACCATACCAAGTTGAGAAACAACCAAGAGCTCTTTGTGTCTTGTGGAAATGTTCGGCTTTGTGCCTTGCGCCGATCGAAATGTCTTCAGGAACCTTGGAATCTGCTGTCGGAGAGGGACTCGCCACTAACTTTCGTTGGAGTGCCCGCACTTGGGTGTTCAAGTCACTTACTAGAACCCAAGTGCCATTCCATGGAAAGTTTGCGGTGAGTCCCTCTTTGACAGCAAAATCAAAGGTTCCTTAAGACATCTTAAAACACCTCACTAAGTGCAACTCCCAAGCAAGTCCGCGCACACTTCCATTCAGCCAATGGTGTTCCTTCTTTGAAACCGGTGCATTCCCACCCAGACTCGTCTTGAGACCAACCAGCCATATTTGTTGGTTGCAAGTTGCGTGGCGCTTTTTGACGCATCCTTCCCTTTGCGCTTCTGTTTAACTCTTCTCATCTTATCTTTTCAGGCGCTGGGCGGTGGGCGCTTTCGCGCTTCAATTTTTCCAAAAGCGTGTTCTGCCCGACGGAGCCGCTCGCTCTTTCGCATGCCCCTTCCCCCATTTTTCTCTCAAAACGGGTCTTCTTTGTTCCCAGCTCGGCTGGCGGCTGGGAAACTCCCGGGCTTATGGCAGACCCAGAGAAGTCTCTCGACTTGCCGACGGACTGCCAGGAGCCGCACCGCAAGCTGCCGGTCACTGCCGTGGAGCTCGCCGAGGCTCGCCTCATGCAGCCGGAGGGCCCAGAGAGGGCCCAGAGGGCCCAGAGCCAACCGGCGAACGGCTGAGGCTTGGTCCAGGGTAACTTGTGGCAACGGGTAGTCTTGGGTTGGTTTAAGGTTGGCTTAGGGTTTGTTGAGGTTTTGTTTAGGGGTTGGCCCTTCAACTTTGCCTTTAGGGGTGGGTTTGGGGTGGGTTTTGGGTTGGTTGGGGGCGGTTTAGGGCCGATGCCGAAAGAAGGTACGTCGGCCGATCCCGCCGGTGCGGCGGAAGAGCCCCCAAACGCACCTGCTGCGCAATTCAAAGAAGCTCTTCCACTCCTGCACAGCGAACAAGTAGAAAAAGCACCTGATAACTTGCGGAAAGCATCAAGTCTCATCCTCACCCGGAGGGGTTGGGGATTGGTCGATGGCGCTTTGTTTTGGGTCTGTCTTGAAAGTTGGCGGTTGTTTTGGTTTAGTGGATTTCTGGGTGGTCTTAACTTTTAACATTTCTCACCCCATGCGGTTTTGGACTAAAGAGTCGCTTTTTGGGATTGGACTGATTGTTTGAGCCATTGTTTGGCCAGCCGACTCGGGCAGTGAGAAATATAGGGGTGCCCAAACAATGATCAGTTTCCTTGTGAACCACCCTATTTGGCTGTGGGTCAAAACCAATGGTACCATTTTGGGGTAGGTGCACCCAATGGCCATGTGTCTCTCAGTTGGTTCCTTTTTGGTCATGGCCCCCAAACGGATATGTTCATTTCTGGGCCCCGAACGAGCAACTGAGTTTTTGGTGTTAGGGAAGCTACCGGAAACCCAAAATTGTTTTCGGCGAACACGGGGCTGGATCTGCCTGGACCAGGGATACACATTGAAGGAACTTGGCAGAACAGAAAGCGCAACCCAGCAAGATTCGCAAAGGGAAGCAGACAGGGTTAGTTGGTTTGTGCGGGGACAAAACGGTTTGTTTCAAATTTTGAAGCCCGCAACTGGATCGTGTACTTTTGTTTAGAATCCCAAGAAAGGGTACCCTCAAGAAAAGACACACCGATGTTGGGCAGAGTCGTGTCGTGGAAACTTGCAAAGCATTGCCTGGCCTGCGCCGCAGCGAGGCGTTTCTTTTGTAGCAATTGTGCTATGTTAGTCAACGTTGGCTGGTGGTTCATGCGTCTCATTTGTCGCTCCACTGTTTCCGCTTTGAACACCATCTGGGTATGTCACAAGAACCCACCAAATGGCTTGAGGTGTTTTTGGTAAACCTTTCAGCCCTTTGGGGCCATTTTTGGGTACCCCGATTGCTCCCACTCGCTATTCTAGGGGTACCTTCCCCATTCTTTCCAGGGATCCGAATCTTTTCAGGCAGCCATCAAAAACCCAACAGCCGGTTTTTGAAAAGAACGATGGTTGAAAAGAATAGGGAATCAACCCCTAGATTTGTACCAGAATCCATCAGGAGGTACCCTGTTGGACCCTCTATGTTCGGTAAGCCGAGTAGCCTGAATCAGCCCGTAGAGCTATGAATGCCTTCCAGAAAGCGCAAATCGTGCGAGAACCTCATGGAGCAGTACTGCGACGCTGTGGCTGCGTGAGGGTCAAAGGCTGCCTTTCCTTCGACCGCTGCTGGCGTTGTGAAACTCCTCAGTTCAGTGGCGCCGATTCTCATTTTCCCCTCCTTTTTTGGTGGCTCCATTAAAAATGGACACTCCCCAAAAAGGGTTTCTTTTTCTCCCAGTGGGTCACTGAACAACTGAGATTCCGAAGGGTGCGTGCCAAAAAAAAACGTTTGCGGCAGGATGATAAATTCACTTGTGGATTCTCGTGTGCATGTCAATGTGTGCTTCAAGCCCTGCTTTTTCTGATTCCTTTCTGGTTCCAGCGCTAAGGTATGGTGACTTTCGAGAATCCCAGGTGCGACTTGCGAGATACACCTGGACGTCACTCCGGAGGCCTTGCAAGTGCTTCGAAGTGCTGGTCATCAGCCCGAGTTGACTCCAACAGCCGTTCACACACTCCATGCTGCCCGAATGCATTTGATTTCTCCGTTGGAAGAGCACTGCCGCAACTTTTTGCAGACTCTGCAAGACTACGCACTCATTTTGCAATGGATGACTGATGCTGCAAAGCTCTCATATCCCTTGGAGCCAGCTGTGCACCGGAAATATTGGACAAAGATCCTGCTTAAGAGCTCGGAGGTCATCAGATCGCAAGCATTTCTGGAAACCCATGGCTCAATCGTGGCGCAAATGCTTGAACTGGATGAGTTGGAGGTTGATGAGGATACTCTTTGGACGCAGTGCGTGGCATGGTCAACAAATGCTGTTCATCATCCTGAACTTCTGGGTCCATATGCTGATGCAGGAAATTCTGTGAAACGACGCAGAGCTGACGAGGCTGGAACTCACGATGGGCAATGCGAGGCAATTTTGCAATTAATGTCGGAGAGCATCCGCTTCGGCGCACTGAGCAGAGCTTTGTTTTTTGACAAAGTCAGGCCGCTTTTGACCCATGAGCAGAATTATGAGGTTTGGGAGTATTTTACCCTGAAACAAAGATCTGAGCAGATTTGGGCGAGAAAGCGACCTGGGCTGACGCTTGGGGAGAAGGTGGTTTTTGAGTCAGCCGAGGGAGGAATCGCTGCGCGGTGGATCCCCTCACGCTGGGTCTTGAAGGTGAACCTCGGTCGGGCTTCCGCCTTCAGAGGGTTGGAGCTATCCTTTGCTCCTCATGGATACTTTGGCGCATTGTGCCAAGGGATGTTAGGACTGAATAACTTTTCGCCAAATGCTTTGCTTGGATGTTAGGACTGAATAACTTTTCGCCAGATGTTTTGCTTGGATGTTAGGACTGAATAACTTTTTGCCAAATGGGTTTTCCGTATGACATCACAAAAAGTTATTCACTTTTAGCAGGGGGGCAGCAAGCAACTGAGGCCAAGTTTGGGAATTCATCGTTTGCAGCGACAATAATTCTTGGAGCCAGATCTCAGATCACTCAATCGCAGTCGACAGAAAGGTCATTTGCAGATTCAGAGGCAAGGATGTTGTTTGCGAGAACATCTGGCTCTTGTTTTGGAACGTCGCCCCTGAGCCAGCAGTCTGCACCAAGATCATAGCTGCTCGGAATGAACAGATATGCAGTTTTGCCCGAACTGCCGATGTTTGCGCGGCCGCATGCTTCAACTCAATGGTCCTCAATGGGGTTCTAAGATCTATTTGGGCTGCAATAGCTCCCTTGCTATGCCTCTGAATCGGTTTTTGAATGTTGGCAATCAATAAAAACAGGGGGATTAGAGTAAAACTCTCGCCTCCAGTCTGCCTGGTACGTGGCGCTCAAGAAAGAGAAGAGGCGGCCAAGGAGGTTGCGGAGAAGCTATTTCCCACACCTGTCAAAGGCGGTCCACGATTGGAGACGAGTGAGCAATCAACAACGCAGGTATAAAACAAGATAAGACATGTGGAATGATGTGAATTGTGATTGTTGGTATATAATCAGGTCTTCTCTTTGGACGTTATTATCTAAACAATGTTTAAGGTATTGACCGCGCTTTAGTTTGAACATATTAGGAATACATATACATATATGTATATATGGCAGTGATTTTTTGAGGGGTCTGTAACAGAGCCGCGGCGGACATTCGTTACAGACCTCGTTACCGACCTCTGTATGAAGACCAGCTGGCTCGTTACACACCCTCGTTACACGCCCTCGTTACACACCCTCGTCACACACTTCAGATGAACAAACCGGGCCAGTGACGTGACTGCCCTCTTTTTTTGCCGCAGCTTGGCTTTCGTTGAATAGCTGCAATTAAGCTGGAGCTGCGGAGGCGCTTTGCGTACTGTGCTTTGCTTTGCCTCGTTACAGACCTCGTTACATAGCCGTTACATACCTTTTTACAGACCCAACCCAGCCCGGGCCGACGACCCTGCTTTTTGCCGCAGCTTGGCTTGCGTTGAATAGAGCTGCGCTTTGCGTACTGCGCTTTGCTTTGCCTCGGTACAGACCTCGTCACATAGCCGTCACGTAGCTCGTTGCAGACCCAACCCCCCGGTTTTGGCCAGCGACCCCCCTTTTCGCCGCAGCTTGGCTTGCTTTGAATAGCTTGGTGCTGCGGAGGCGCTCTTTGCGTACTGCGCTTTGCTTTGCCTCGTTACAGACCTCGTTACATAGCCGTCACATACCTCGTTACAGACCCAACCCCAGCCCGGGCCAGCGACGCAGCCTTGCTTGCGTTGAGTAGCTGCAATCAAGCAACAGGATTCGTGCCGTGTCGCGTGTTACAGACCCCTAAAAAGATCATAGCCATAGATCTTATATGCTCACATATATATATATATATATACACATGCATATATATACATACACATATTGGTCACTGCCTTTGAATATATCATTTTGCGACGAAGCCCACATCGAGCTAGGCGGCATCCTTCTTTTTCTTATTTCCGGGCCTGGTGCTGCAGAATCAACGGCTCTCTAGATCTCGGTACCTTTGCAGTGGCATACCCTTTACCGCTATACCAATTTGATATGAGCACCGGCAAGCACTAAGTAACTTGGCGAGTTTGTGAATATGTGCTGGCTGCTGACTGAATTCAGCCGGAATTTCATCAGCTTCCCTTGGAGTTGCATCCACGCTTGCATTGTTTGTTTCGCCATACGTGTTTGCCTTTGAATAGGCGGAATCCTGAAACGAATGGGTTCTTCTGGCTTCCCACACACAACAAATCGTCCTTCGCACAAATGTACTCCCATCTCGCGACTGCGTCGCCCGTCCAATTCGGCAACTTCGTTGTGGATCAAATGAAGGACCAAGCTGCTTTTTGGGCACAGGCGGTGCGAAAAAGACATGTCTCTCCATCGCAGATATTCCGACCTCAGAATCCACCCAAGGGGACCCGGTTTTTTCCCGACCCCAAGGTGGTTTTGTGGACAGTGGGCCCAAAAAGCAGGAAGGGGGTTGGAACAACCAGGTCCCCCAGTGCCCTTCTCTGGGTTTTGGGTTCCCCTCCTAAAATAGACTTTAGAAAAACAGCTACCCTTATTCCAGCCTCTCTACTGGAGTAAGATTGGGTGCAAAAAGGCAGGGGCTTGGAACAACATGACACGGCGGGTGGAGATGGCCGTAGTACTGAGCTTGGGTGGGTGCAGTGCGCAAGCTGTCAGGTCTTGCTGGCAGATTCTTGGGTGTGTCCTTTTTTTCTGGGGACCCCCCCCCTCTCCCGCAAAATGCTGAAATGTTTCTGTCTTCAAACCACGCAAGTGGGGTACCTGAGCCAAAAACAGCCACACATATGGGGTACCTGAATAAACAGAAAAGAGAAGCAAATAATTGGAGTTGAGAAAGCCACAGCGCTGCAGCAAAGCCTGCGGTGATTGAAAGAGTTTGCAGCATGCACCGAGGTTTGGGTACAAACCTGAGGCGTAGATAGGACGAATTCTGCATGTTCAAGCTGCACGTGAGACCCGTGCGCCAAAGGGAACTGCATGCTGCACTCGCTTGCCGCTTGCCGTTGTTTTTCGCGCTTTTCTGATCTTTCGGCAGTCTCACCGCGTTGTGCTAAACAGTGTTGTTGTTTTCCACAACTGGTTTGCGGCGAGCAATTCATCTCATGCTTGGCTCTGGACAAGTCAAATAGGATGGCTGGATCTAGGCATCACGGCAACTCGGCAACTCGGCAGCTCGGTCCGGAGAGCCCAGCGGTAAATGCGATGCATGTGGGATGCCTATCATCTCAGTCAAAAGGCGCGATGATTCGATGAGAGTCACTAGCGAGCCATAATCGCAGCCTACGGAAGAACTACAAGCTCAGATATCCGCCTGTTGATTATTTACGCTGCTTTGCTCAGGTTTTCATTCGGACTCAACTGCACTTGAGCTTGGGCCGGGTCACTTGAGCCAGCCCCGTCACCTGGGCCAAGTCACCTGACAGACTCTGGCCCAAGGATGCATCTCTGAGGGTTGCAGTCGCTTCCCGGAAGTGAGAGATGCCTTTTCCAGAGGTCTTCCAAAGGCCTGCTGTCTGCTTCCAGGATTGAAGAGGAGGATGCCATTTGGGGGGTGGATGTGTGGTATAGGTGATTCCCAGGTTGATAGTCGCGCATTGGAGGAGATGGAAATTCTGAGGATTGGTAGGCTTCGCGCCTCATGCTCTGGCTTGAACGCGCGTCAAGATGAGTCGGGATCAACTGCACGTGGAAGGGATTGAAGCCAACATATCCGCTGCAAAACGTATGATTCCGTGCATTGTGTTGTTGCAAGGTCCAAAAAATATGCTTCAGCTTTCGGATATCGATCAAACAAGAGCCCAGGCAATGGTATTTGACACCAACTCTCCGTTTTCTGTGAATGCCGTTTCGGACTCTCCGCACAGGGCCTGGGCCTAAGTAGTTGGCGCCAGGCTTTTGAGGCCTTGACGGTTTTTTGATGAGTTGGGTCCTTGGCCTAGGCAGACAAATTCGCAGGACATGGATACCCTTCCACCAAACATGGGTTAGTGCAGAAAGGCCAACTAACCAAGAGGACTGTAGTCTTTCTACAGGGGTCTGTGCACAAACCCATGTTAGTTGGTGGGAGGGTAGGACATGGATGCTAAACATCAATGAACAAATCGGCAAATAGGAGCTTCTTTGAGCACCAGACAGTTTGCCATCCGTGGTCAATTTCACTACCTTTGAGCCAATTCCATGACCTTTGCTCAATTCCCTTGGTCACTTCCTGTGTTTTATTTTTTCCCTTGGTCACTTGCCTTGGTCACTTCCCTTGGTCACTTCCTGTGGTTTTTTCCCTTGGCCACTTCCTGTTTTGTTTTTTGTTTTTCCCCTGGTCAACTCCCTTTTTATTCCATGACCTTTGGGCCTGAAGGAAAGTTCCCATTTCGCTGAGCTAAGGGTCCGAGTCGCTGAGCCTGTGGGGGCCAGGTTTTTTTTTGTCTTTTGGACATGAGATGAGGATCACGGAGGCGCGGAGGCGGAGGCGGGCCGGGAGGATGAGGATGATGATGATGATGATGATCACGGAGGCGATCGGCAGGATGAGGATGATGGTGATGATGCCACTGATGATCTATGGTTATGGTTCACTGTCACCCCGACCATTACTCACCATCTTGAAATTTCACAGAGAGCGGGGTGCGTTGGGTATCATAACAACAGGCCGACCATCGCAATATTCCTCAAAGAATGCGGGGGTTTGGCTTCCATGTATTTCCATGTTAACTAGGAGGGTAACCCAAAGCCAGTGCTTTGGGGATCAGTACGAGTGGCCCGGTGTAGCACCTGAGGCGTCCATGGCATGGGGCAGGACTGCTCCTGTGGAATCCGGCAAGGCGCGGCTCGTCGATCTGTGGCCGTGTGTTTTTTCTACCGCTATCGCTGCTATTGGGTTGGATCTTCAGACTTATTTTGCTATCGCTGCTATTGGCGTTTGGATTCCCTTTCCTCGTATTTCAACTTTTAACCGGCAAAGAGTGTTTCACTTTTTGCTGGGGGGATCTACAGCACTCAAGGTCTGTGCCTGGTGGTAGTTTCTGTGTGTGCCAGGGTGAGATTCGACGGTACCCAAAACAGCACCTTGCTATGTGGAAAACAAAGACAAAAAACGGCGTTTGAAACCCCATGTGTTGAAATCTTTTGAGGGAAATATGCTCGTTTTGAAACATACTCAGTTTCAGATGATTTTCGTTTTTGTTCAAGGCACCCTTTCGGGGGGAGTGGGCGTGGCCTCGAGCGTGTTAAAGAGGCCTGTGGAGCAATGCCGATCTCCTTTCTGGGCCGAAGCGCCAGTGTTGTTTTCCATGTCGTGATTCGCGAGGTAACTTGCGGGGCAGCGTTGTGTTTGAGCCATGTGCTAGAGACATTGAACTTGCGAAGTGCTGGTGCTGGAATCGTGGAGCTTCCATGCTTGATTATATAT